GGGGGGGGGGGGAGAAATGATTTTTTGATGAGAAGAACTTTTTCGTAGTTACTCCACGCTGCGACAATTCATCCTCCGCTCCTAATTGAGATTAATGAATCAAACCGCTGTCATTTATTGAGACTATAATTCTGGATCGATTACCGTTGATTTTATTCCTTCATCTCAATTAGGGGGGGGGGGGGGGGAGAAATGAATTTTCATATCGGTGGAGCCCCTCCAAATCGGTGGAGCTCCTCCGGCCTCACTCAACGCCGGAGAACCGTTCGGGGTTACTTCGCGCTTTTGAAAATTCATTCCTCCGCTCCTAATTGAGATTAAGAAATGAAACCGGTGTTCGTTCATTGAGAATTCAATTCCCAATCGAGTGGCGTTCGTTCTATCTCTCCATCTTAATTAGGAGAGGAGAAATGAATTTTTAATTGGGCGCAAATATTGCGGGGCCACTCGCCGCTAGAAAACGAGAAAACCGTATCGTTTCTTTCAACGCCGTTGTAACTTCCATCTCACAACATTCCCAGCCCACCGATTCCTCCCCTGACGCGATTTCTATCCCCACTCTACCTCTGCTCACTCTACGCCGCTATCGACACTCTCGTACTCGTGCCCTGCCTTATTCACAGGTATGTACTCTAATTTAGTTCATGCGCCACCGCTACGAAATTTCGCGGTTGAAGCTTCTCCATAAGCGCTGGCAATCTCCCCTATAATGTGTGGTATTGGCGATGCCAAAAGCGATTTTTCGCCCTCTACTGAGGGTTTCTATAACTAGCCTATGGCGGAGCCTACCAGGTGGTTGAGCGCCGGAATGTATGGTTATACGAAATTTAGATTTTTGCCTCCCATTACCCTATCATTATTGGACTTTAGTAAATATGAATATCAATCCAAAGTTCAATTTGACATTTTGTGATATTGGAGACTTACTAGGAGATACTAGGAGACCAATTCAAGCAGGAGGTATTATTAGCTGAACACATCCTCATCTGGGGTGTCAATAGTTATAAACAGAATTACGTAGAAATTGTATGAGCTTGTCGTCAATTATCACATTGGAATAATTACCACGAAATAATTATAAAAATTCTGTTTGAGGAAAATAATTAGAAAATGTACTTGTCCAGCTGGCTTGGGTGAAAAATGTAAACACATTTTTGCGACACTTCTATATATATTTATCGGTGAGGAAAGTTGTTTTTTTTGTTTTTGATCTTTTTATCTACTCCAATACATTTACTAATCGTCAGTCATATTCGAGTATACGCAATCTGCATTTTAAATATTGGATTTATCTAGAGTTCGAGTTGATAAGATTGGAGATGTTCAGCTGTATAGACTTGAAACAGCAATGGGGCAAGGTGAAATCAAATGCTGATTTACCCCAGAATCAGGTAGTGAATTTGGAGGAATTTTATTGCATGAAGGTGGAGAAGGTAGAAAAGAGAATGATCCAAACTCCCAGATTTTTTTTTAAATACATTGATGACAGGTAGGGAAATTGTGAAAGCTCAAATTTGATTTATCTTTAATTTTAAAGTTTGGCACGCAGCAGACTCTTCGATCATTTTTTTATAAACATTTGTAGTCATATTTATGAGTAAAATGAAGTTCTCTTTCTTTTGATGTGAAGTTGGTCACAAAATAGGACGTGACGTTGGCTATTTCGCCTTAGAGTAGTTCGGAATCAGTCCGTTTTTCTGGGTATAGCGCTGGAAACACTTTTGGCATCAGTCCTGTGGAGAGAGAGGAACTGCTGAGGACTGCTTACGGTTGATTGGTAGATTTGAATGAGTAGAAGAGAAAGGAGTCGGAACGTACGGGAATACAAATAAAAAATATATTCAAGTGCGCAAAATAGTGATATTTTCTATTTATTGATGTGGAATATGAACGCTAACACATTGGCTGACACCAACCTCGATGATCTTCAGGTCTAAAATGATTACTGCAAACAATAAGACTTGGAAATTTTTACATCGTTTTTTTCAATATTTCCATCCATTTTTCTGGTATTTCTGGATTTGCAGGCAATCTAAAAGTAGAATATTAAAAATATCTGGAGCAAAATAAATATTTGAGTCAATTTTTGCATTTGGATGAAAAGGTAATTTTATATATCATCCTTATGGAAAGTGAGATCTGCAGTGAAAACTGATCGTTCCAAACCAAACACACAACAAGAATTCACCATTCTAATATTTTTTCCAATTTTTCCAGCTGTCGCAAACCATAATGACGGAAAGAACACATTAAATTGTTGTAAAACGATGGTAAAACGTTTTTCCCCAGTTTCCACTACACACTTGAATTTTTTACCCTCACTCTACATCATCTCTCTGCTCCCCACGCACAGCACTGCTAAACAGGGATAGGTAGGGACCTGGAGTATCTCTCTCTGGCTAAACCGATGCAGCTTCCCCCTCCACTGCGCAGTTTAGGTTAATCATAGAGGTATAATATCTAGAGTGCTCATACGGCTCCCAAGCTGTCGAAAAGTGAAGAGAGATAGCCTGCTTAGAACAGGCAATCTCTCTCTGTCTGTTGACTTTGGGCGAGGGGGTACGGGAGGCAATGCAGAAGGGGAAATATTGAACCATAGCGACACGTCGGGGATAGTCTGAACCAATTTCTTATCCCACTCCTACTCCGTTCGGCCTCCTTCTCTCTCATGAAGAATAGAGAGAGGTCGCTATTCTTCATGTTCTCTCTATATCCATGGCGTTGTCGCGTCGATGGGTGGAACACGTTGCGCATCTTAAAAACGCGTCTATACTCTTAAGAGCGTGGTTGACTGTGATTGGTTGAAATTAATTGACCAATGAGCGCTCTCCATCTGTCTACTCCTCAATATACAAGTCCCGTCAAGACTTCACCAACGGCATCTCGATTTCTGGCATTATCGGTTGGCACGTCCGCAGACCAACATACTTGTTTCACTTTCTATTTGAACACGGCTGGTCCCTAAGTGAAAAAATAAATTAATATTGTAACTAAATAATAATTGTAGAGTAAAATGCGATCATCCATCGCAGTATTTGCTGTTGTGGCTGTTGCCACTGTCTACGCAGAAATTTTCTTCGAGGAGAAATTCCTTGACGGTAAGTGAGAAACTGGTCTAAAGCCGGCTTTATTTTACGTAGAATTTTCTGTCAGTGTTCTCTTGACTATCTGTACCACACCCTTCCTGTCTGTTACCACCCAGCTAGATTCGTGTTTTTTTAAAATAAATCTTTCAGTCGTTATGAAGTGACAAATGAAAATAAGGCAGAAAACAATCATAGCAACCGGCAAACATTGTGCAATACTTGCTCGTAAATGTTCGCAATACTTTGTTGAATATTTTGTACTAGACACGCCTTAATTATCCGTGGATTTTGAAATATCACATCGATTGGTAAGACGTCGATAATATACGGGGGTAAAGTGAAATTAGGTACGTATCCCTCGGATGTTGTTTCCAATGAAAAAGCGACTACTGCGCCCCAGACATTTGCCCTCACAACTTATCCGGAAGACCGAAATATACTCATTTTTATTTCGGGCACCACCGAACGCGAACACGTTTTTAATCGTCTTCTCCCGACACGTGGAAAAATCTTTTACGAATAATTATGGTAGTTATAATTTTTTGCCCCATGTTACTATCGACCTTTCATCGATTTTTGGGTCATGATTTTTCCAAGATTATTGTGCATTTAATGTGATTCTTCTAATTTACAGATTCGTGGGAGGATAAGTGGGTTTACTCTGAGCATCCCGGAAAGGAATTCGGTAAATTCGTGCTCAGCCATGGAAAATTCTGGAACGATCCTGAAAACGACAAAGGTAATATTGCCTAATCCACTCCCTTCTCATTTTCTCCTTTAACTCTGATGATCCCGTCACTGACGATTTTTTTACTTGTAAAAAAATGTGGTCAGTGACTTCTTTCCGCCATAATGAACCCGAGCCTAGAGTCACATGCCTTTCTCCAATAGATGGTAGGTGCTACAGGAACTCGGAGAGTGAATAGAGGTCTGACTTATGCCCTGAGCGTGTAATTATTATACATGTTTTCAGGTACCTAGTGCAGGCACATTTTTCCATTAATTAATTTACAATGTGAAGGACATGAATAAACCATTGGAAAGACCAATTTCTTAATGTTTTCTATCGATTTTTAGGTATTCAAACGTCGCAAGATGCGAGGTTCTATGCCCTCAGCCACAAATTCAAACCTTTTTCCAACAAAGACAAACCACTGGTTGTTCAGTTCACGGTGAAACATGAGCAGAACATTGACTGCGGAGGTGGTTATGTAAAGGTATTCGACTGTTCCCTCGATCAGAAGGACATGCATGGAGAGACGCCCTATCTCCTTATGTTCGGTAAATAGCCCTTTTTTATTATTATTCATCTTCTGTAGATATTGTTACTTTTCGCATTTAGATGTACGGAGATAACACTATGCATTGGCTGAGTTATCCCCCATTAATATTCATTAATCACTTTCACTTATTTGAAGAATTCATGACACTATCATTTTTCCAAGTTTAAAAAATCAATTAAGTAAACTCCTTTAGCACACTATTAAGTAATGAGTTTCGTCTTAAGATTGAAATTCTGATATGAATTCCAGATTTTGTGTTATATTGTATTGAGTCTTTTCGGTAATTTTCTATCTTTAAGACACGGGTATTTTTCCATTTTCATAATCTACAGTATATCACAATTTCCATTGGATTTTACATCACGCAGGAGTCCCTAAAAATTATAATTCTACCATCAAAAAAGGTAGAAGACAAACTGAACATTTTTAAAGAGCGTTTTTAATAAAGATTAAGGAATAAGTAAGTTTCATAGAGAGGAAATAGTGAATGGATAATTTATCATGGTAACTAACGAACTGACAGCCATTGACTACTGTGACAAATGACGATCGCACAGCCATTAGATACATCAAATTATTAATTTGTAATTTCCTCCCTATTGGATTTATTTTCCAATATTATTCAAAAACGCTCTTTGAAAATATCCAGCTTTTTTTCAACGTTTTTTTGATTATACAATCATAATCTTTGAAGATTCCAGGACTATGTAAAACTGAATAGCAGTTGGAGATCATTTTAGATTATGAAAATAAAAGAAACAACCAAGATCACGTTCGAACGATAATCCAACCGGCCCTTAAATTACAAATACGCCTGTTTTAAGGATGATTTGTTCTTAGAGGTGTGGCATCAGTAAAAGGTGCATAATGACATTCATTTGGAATTTTAATTACATAGTTCTCTACATTCCATACCTTTGATTATCGATAACTCAAATGCACCTCATCATTTATCTTTTACCATTATCTTTTACTTTTCTGCAATAGTTTTCAATGTCTCATTGTTATTTGTATCTTCTTGATTTAGGGCCTGATATCTGTGGGCCAGGGACCAAAAAAGTCCATGTTATTTTCAACTACAAGGGGAAAAATCTTCTTATTAATAAGGACATTCGTTGCAAGGACGATCAATACACCCATCTCTACACTCTTATTGTCAATCCCGACAATACATACAAGGTACTTTGAACCCATAATGATAACAGCAATTTTTTTTTTTCGAGCCTAGAGTCACATGCTTTTTTATCATTCTGAAATGGCAAGTGCTGAAGGTACTCGAAGAGTAAAGAATGTCTCGCTTGCATCTTTTGTAACTAATATTTCAATTTCATTGTTACAAGCTAAAACGCGAAGGCCGATAGAAAGATCTTGCTTCCCAGTGGAAGCATTGTAATCATTCCAACTCAAGTTACTATTTTTCGTGTTTAAGGAAGTAAACATAAAATTTCAAAAGTTCGAATATGCGACTTTTAGATGTTGTTGATCCCTTGACTGTTTTGTTTATTTTTTGAAAATTTTCTTTAAGGGTATTCATAGAATTTCATGATTTTCCTCTGAATATAGAATTCAATGGGATTTGTCCATTGTCATTAATTAAAATTGAATTTATCACAGAGTTTCCGATGGATGAATTTTTTCTTAAAACTGATTCCGCAACGATCACTTCAAAAATTATTACTAAAAGAGATCATGATTTTGAAAATTGATGTCAATGATCTCTATCTGAATATGATTGTGAATCGTCTATTCACTGTTAAGGTGCAGCCATTTATTTGTGAGATATATTTTTCAAAAATCAGTTTTTCCGAAATCATCAACGAAATCAAATACATTATGGCTTTAAAAATTTGTTCCAATGACTTTTCAAGCACGTTAAAAAATGAGCAATAAGTTTTTGCTTCAAAAAGAAGGTATTTTTTTATTAAATTTTAAGTTTTCTATTTCTTGTACTAGAATAAAGTAGTCTATATGTTTGTGCAAGTGATCGTGTGTGTTATCAGGTTTATTTGGAAATTCCTTGTTCGAGAATTTTGTCTTTATTATTAAAGGGAATTATGTAATAACATAACCATCTAATCCATTGAGAAGCATATTGCTGATTTATTACCGTCAACAGCCATGCTAAGATATGAATAATACAAGTATCCGTTCGTTTCTGTCGTTAAAAATTGTGATGTAACACAAAAAATTTTCTAAAGGTTCTGATTGACAATGAAGTCGCTGAATCTGGTGACTTGGAAGCAGACTGGGACTTCCTTCCCGCCAAGAAGATCAAGGATCCATCTCAGACTAAACCGGAGGATTGGGACGATCGCGCCACAATTCCTGACCCAGAGGACAAGAAACCGGAAGATTGGGACAAACCAGAGCACATTCCCGACCCAGAAGCCACAAAGCCAGAGGACTGGGATGAGGAAATGGATGGGGAATGGGAGGCACCAATGATTGACAATCCAGAGTACAAGGGGGAATGGAAACCAAAGCAGATTGACAACCCGAATTACAAGGGACCATGGATTCATCCTGAAATCGATAATCCTGAATACACACCTGATCCGGAACTCTACAAGAAGGATGAAGTTTGTGCTATTGGTTTTGATTTATGGCAAGTTAAATCAGGCACTATCTTCGATAATGTTCTCATTACGGACGATCCTGAAACTGCCAAGAAGTTTGGAGATGATGTATGGAAGCTCACGCTCGTAAGTAATATATTGTTCATTCATTATAAAATTGATTGGCTTCTAAAAAAATGATGAAAAAAGAATTCTGATAATTATGAGCGATAATCATTTGGAATTCCTCGTTGCTGAACAAAATCATATGTTAAGACTATAGCTCAAAAGGAACTTGATTCATATTCTAATATCACACTTCTCATATCTTCACTTGTAGGAGGGAGAGAAGAAAATGAAGGAGGCTCAAGATGAAGAAGAGAGGAAGAAGGCTGAGAAGGAAGCGAGTGAAAACACAACGGAAGACAGCAATGACGACGACGAGGATGATGAGGCGGAAGAGGAAGATAACACTGTAGCAGAAACTGAGGTAAGAAACGTTTTCATTTTCTTTTCCTTCCTATTTTCTATTTGATGTGTTCAATCATGATGATAAAAACCACTTCTGAAAGGCATGAGCGATAGATTTCGTGGAATTCCTCGTTGCTGAATCTCAAGATTTTGACAAACTTTTTCATTACTCGATTCAATTCAACATATTACATCTCTTTCATTCTTATTGCAGGAACATGACGAGTTGTAAATAAAGGTCAGGGGTGACACGAAAAATTCAGACTGTATTCCAGGGGTTGGCAGGCTTGAAAATACACGCACCAACTGGCACGGTCAGATATGACAGAAATTCAGAATATCGTCCATTTTATCTAAGATTTCTTCCATCCGATGAAACTCAATAGATCAGAGAAAGATCGAAGTGTCTCAATCGTATCAGGGAATGAATCAGTCACTCGTGGGATAGAACAATGCTCTAATGATGAAAATTTAAGCACTAACCCTAATCGTTAATCTTAATCTGTCTTGAGACAACATTCGGAAAAACGAATAATCCTGAAAAATGCGACGATGAACTGATTGCTGTTGTAAAAATTATACACAAATGGTGTTTAAAGATCCGTGCTTAGCTTCACCTCCGCCACAGCTCCAAAAAGACTATAAGTTGTTCCGTTTTTGTTTGTCAAGTGTTTTTTATAATGAAAAAAAGTCCTGATAGCAGTGATTTTGAAAAGAAAATTCAATATTGATTATTGTCAGCGACATTTGCAGATTAATGATTGTTTTCTACTCTTATCATTTAAAGTCAAACATTCTTTCTTCATCTACGTAGAAATTTATATGACGCTAAGTGATTGGGTGTGTGTTTAAATATGACTGAGTGATAATTATTGAATAATTTTATCAAAGTAAATAAAAAATGATAAACATTGGAAACACAAACGCCAATAACAATGTAATAAATTAATAAGAATTTTCTAGACGTGCCTGAATTGTTTCTCTTTTAAAACCCATTCATGCAAGTTTTACTCCTTATCCTTATCGTGATCCTGTACCAGTTTCAGGATCCATTAGATTTTGTCTGGATTCGGTTCCTGGGGTGCTTCGAAAATAACAGATGTTTTTTTATTCTCAGAAATCTGACCTAAATCTGAATAATAGGAGATAGGAGAAAAAACAATTATTTACAAATGTTCTGAACTTTATCTCATCTTTTTCTCTTTTTTTTGTAAATTGCGAAAATCTACATGATTTATTTACACTGTCTGTAGTGGATTTACAATTTTAGTTTCAACACATTTTTTTAAATATTTCATTGTACTGTCCTATGTATATTTTACCTGCTCAGACGAACTTGTGTAAAATATTTAGGATTTTTGAATCTGTAGAACTCAGGAAGGGCTTTATAGTTTGTTATTGAGACTACATTTTTTCAAATTTCCTAAGAGTGTTATTTTTTCCGTGTTAAAATTGGGACAGTATCAAAAGATATAATCAATGTCTTGTGTTTCGAACCCACAAGAACAGCTGGCATCATCAATGATATTCAGTCGCTTTAGAGAGGCTTTCAAGTGATAATGGTCGACCCTGGCGCTTAACCCATGTTGTGAGGTATCTCGGGTGCTTAGTACCCTTGTACCATGGCTTGAAAGACTCCCTGTAGAACTAGGAAAAAAAAAGTTCTCCTTTACGTTTGACATCAGCCAGCAATCGTATTTCAGTTATTGTCTTCGATTTTTCTTTTTTCTTATAAGGAGTCCTGAGATCTGTATATGGTATTCGGTATTCAGTATCATTATTTCCTGAAGCATTTTTAGCCAGATTATCAGCCCTCTCATTTCCTTCGATTCCTCTGTGAGCGGGGATCCAGAAGAATGAAATTGTACTATTGTAAACATTATTGTTGGTGAATTCTGTGTATTTTGCCTTAATGTCTAACATAAAAGAGTTTGGACGATTGAAGGTTCTAGAGGGTGCTCAGTGAGTCCGAAAAGATGAGGAAGCTGCGGTCTCTGTGCTGTAAAGTGAGGTCAAGGGCCATACTTATTGCCACACATTCGGTCGTAAATACCGAGTTGTCCTTGTGGAGCTGTATTGCTCTGCTATATTCCAAGTTGGGACAGTAGCAGGCCGCTCCTACGTGTCCAGTGCTCGGATCTTTACTTCCATCGGTGTACACATAGTATGCCCCTGGGTTAACATTGATAAGATCGTCATTTATTATGTCGTTCGCTTTATTCCCTTTTGATTGGGCTGTGAGGCCTATTTGTTTGTCTATCTTTATGGATAGGTTTGAAACTGTGTAGTCTTTTTGGAATACATTAAACCGATCGTCGATGTACAGATATTCTTTTTGAGGCAATATTTTTCTGATAATTTTGGTCAATTTTTTTTCACTAGGTCTGACTTTAATTTTTTTTATCTGGAACAAAAACCTTATGGTCTGGGCAGTTTGAGAAGTTGAATTAGAGATGGCTTTTGAAACATACCATTTACACAGAAATTCCATTCTATCCCTGACGTATGTGAGCTTGGTTTCTCCCGTTATTACATTGGTAGGAGTGGGTTGACAATAACGCTAGAGCTAATCGTACTGCCGCGTTCTGTATGGTTTCAAGTTTCGCATTATTAGTTTTGTTATTAGAAAAATATATGAACATTCCATAATCAATAATGGATCTAACATAACTTTTATATAAAATAATTAGGATCTCCGGGTCTGTTCCCCACCATGTAAGTCGGAAATATTTTATAATATTGAGTGCCTTCACACTTTTTCGCTATATTTTCTCTATATGAGTCTTAAAGTTCAGCTTTTGATCGAAGTGGATGCCTAAGAATCTAGCGAAGAGGCTAGATACGATCTCTAGTTGTCCTATTTTAATCCTAGTGTGTGTTGGATCAGATCCTTTCTTACTGAATTTAACCAAGACTGTTTTTTCTGATGTCAAATCTAGACCTATATTTCTCAGGTTTAACACCACAGTATTTACCGAGGACTCTACTGTTTGCAAACTGCACTGCTTGTCTGACGAGCGCGTGAACAGTGCAATATCGTCCGCAAACAAGGATACCCCAACCTTTTCATCTATGTTTCTAGTTATGGATTTGGCATACAGTGTATAAATCAAAGGGCAAAGGACTCCCCCTTGTGGTACTCCTTTCCTAACAGTTCTAGTTTCTACTCCTAAGGTTTCATTATGTATGTATCATTCGCATGTGAGAAATTTTATGTACATCCAGTATGTTTGACGGGTACTCGATTTTTGCTAGATCCTGAATTAGTATTTCGCCGTAAACGTTATTGAATGCCCCCTGGACATCCAGAAGTGCTGCCACTGTATGTTCCTCATCTCTCCAACTATCTTCCACTTTCAGAATCAAATTGCTCAAATTATCGCGACACGATAGACCTGAACGAAAACCTGTCTGGCAGTCTGGAAGCATGTTAGAATGTTCTGCCCACCATTGTCATCTGTCTTTCAACATTGTCTCAAAGAGTTTGGATACGCAGGATGTCAGAGCTATCGGATTTTTTTTCTCTTACATATAATAAATCCTGTTACCGGTTTTTTGTACGAAATGCACGCCAAAACGACAGAATAGATTTCAATGGGGTTTTCACTCTTGATCATATCACGTGCAAAAATGTGCCGCCATGGTCGTGGCCATGAACATTTTTGTACGTGGCAGTTTAGGGGGTCCCATTATAAATTGCGTTCTGAATTATTGCATTAAGTTAAATACAAGAGAAAGACCGACTGTAATGGTTAGGTGGGTGAGGTGTTGCTCCGGCGGACATCCAAGCTAAGCAACGTTGAGCTGGGTTAGTACTTGGATGGGTGACCGCTTAGGAACACCTCGCTCGCACAAAAAATTGCGGGCGGTAGGTACGGTGTAGCGGCCTAGTATCTCCATCTAGTCAGTGTGACAGATGGATATATTAGGGCACTGCACAAGCGGCCGGCTGTAGGACTGGGGTTTTACATGGTTTCCCGTGCAGTTCTAGCTCGAATGGGGCACACCTAAGAGTAAGACGGCCATGATCCCGCAGATAACAATGAGAGGAAAAGAAAGGAGGGGAGGCAGGCTAGAGGAGGGGTTTCAAATCGAGAATTACTTCGATAAAACCAATGAAATAGAAAAAAATAAATAAATACAAAAGGATGTACCACTGAAGGTTCCAGAATTTAGCATCACCCAACCAAGGGATCTGGGAGTAAAATGGCTGTCTGGACGGATATAAGGCGATATTTGGGTGATTCTCATGCTAATCCAGGCATAATTACCGAGCGATTAATCTAGGCGAATCCTCCAGGCGGTATTCAACGGGCGAGACGTGGCGAACTACTCCGGGAAGCGACATCGTGAGTTAGGATGAATATTTAGCGTGAATATGCACATGTTATTAAGTGATTTCTGGTGCGACGTTAACACTTACGAATAAAGGGGCATTTTAGTCTGTTTCGGGGCTCTTGGCATCTTCCCTAACAGGAGAAAATGCATTGCGTACGGACACTGTCGATCCCATCTTGAGAATACCGTGTGGTTTCGAGTCAGTGCATTACCGAAGAGTAATTTATTCTGGCGATACAAGATAGAGCTAATAAGTGTATTAGTGTGAATTGAACGGCGTTTCATAAGGAATATTAGCGATAGCGATATTAATATTTAAAAATTTCATTTCATCTTCTTTACTTTTTTGTATCGTTGTTCTCTACAGGCGCAAATGAGAGAGAAATATATCCATATTGGAGGAACCTTCCTCCCTCTCCGTCCTTCGTTCGAATTTTCGTTCTTGTACCGCAATTGCTACTCCAATGCGAATCTAACCACAGCCGTGGTCATGACCTGAGCCCCGGAGCCAAAAGTGAAAGAGGAACTTTCGATTCAAAATTCCGCCCTCCCCAGGAACGAAAAGTCAAACGGGCCAAGATTGGGTCAGTACTGGCAGCCGAGTTGCGAGTGTTGGCTGACGATCCTCAGTCGACACTCAGCCTCGGCTAGGTATGGGTTTTTATAACGTTGGACCGGTATTGGTTGCTAAGCGTCGGAAAGAGTGAAGGAGTCGCCGAGACTTGGCATGCCAGTCCAAAGCCGATGTTTGGCGGTGAGTGGGTCGCCAAGGTTTAGCATGCCGATTCTAGGCCGAGGCTTGGCCGATTCAACAGCATCGCCAATTTGGCCTCGGTTCTTTCATTTCCCGACAAACTAAACAGGAGTTGTGGGACACCCTGTATAGGGTGAATCATCTAGTGTTCGAACCAGTCCAATGATCGAACGAATTTGACTCCAACATATGAGTTAATGTGCATCAATCGAATCAGACTTCATTAAACTTTTCCCAAATTCAAGTTTTTATTGAAGTCATTGGCTCAGTTGGTGAGCTGGTCCTAAAACTAGTTGGTTTAAGCTGTTCTTCCTTGTGAATGAGAAAACGTCACATTTGTTATCTCTTTTGAATCGAGCAATTTATATCTGCAAAATCATGATTCAATATTTCTACAATATTCACCATATGAGCTAATTATCGGAAAATTAGAATGTGAAAATCCAACAGAATTCGAGAAAGCAATTTTCATTCACACCAACTTCATTTGTCTATCATAGCGACATCCACGAGCAAGATACTCGAGAAAGCAAGAGCACTACCGGTGCCATCAACTCGACATCAATACGGTGAAATAAGACATGGAGGCTCTTAGGACCTATTGAAAATATATGAACTTGAGTAGTTTATGTAGGTTTTCGTAATTAATCTAACTTGATTTGCTATGCGCAGAAACCATATGCGAATGAAATCGCGAAACATTTACATTGTTTCCATTTTTAATTCCGAAAAATATGTAAAGAAATTAGAGGAGTCTGTTGGCGGGTTTGGAGGGAGGAGAAGGGATGGCGACCTTATGCAACGCGTGACCTTGATGCTCCCCATGCGGAAGGCGGAAGATGCGTTCGCGATGATCAGTTGGCAGAAATATGGATTTATATTGACGCGATTAATTGTATATTATTTTCTCATTATTTTACTATGTGATGGTAACGCTGGTAAATATGTATTGGGCAATAAATATTTTGTATCGCTGAGATTCGAACCCGAGTCAGTAGGTTGAAGATCCATCACCTTACCGATTAAGCCAACCCGAGCTTCCGACTGGTCGCTAACGGATTTAATATTATCGCGACTAGCTGAGAGCATTTGGTATGATTTTATGCATCTTTCGACTAAAGAAAATGTTAACGCTTCCATTCGCTTGTTTCATATGTATTCAATTATTTAGTTTGTGATTGCGGACCTCAAATGGTTGATAATATTAGAGGGAAATGAAAATTGAAACTCGTAAAAATGTTCTCGAACAAATCCGAATACTGAATAATTCATTTTATCAATTGTTCACAACAGAATAATTGTTATGAATGACTAAAACTTATTTTGGAACGTGACGCATGGATCAACATCATCGGATACCAATTTAATGGATATCAGAATTTTTCTAGATTGTTACGTTGATTCGATCGTGCAAAATTAGTGAATTCGAAATTTGATTTGTTGTTAACTATTTACAATTGAATTAAAAGAAGGGAAAAAATTATCTCACTTCAATTATCTCTAACACTCATAAACTTTATCATTTTCAACATGAAAACTCGAATATTCGAATTGTTAATTACGTTCAAGCACTCAGTTTCTTTTTTGCCTGTGTATTTCTTATGGAAAGTAGCCTTATTCATTGCAGGACACCTTAGAATAGGCCAACATGCCCCGTCTTCATTCCTGCTATTTCTGACTCATAATACTACAATCTGAAAGGGTCGCCAATAAAATTGGTCTCCCTGCCGGACACCCTAATGTATACCCCCATACGAAGTATTCGAAAGATTGGAATTTTTATAGCATCCATGGAGATGGCAGTAACCATCGGAAATTTTTGCTGGTAGTAAGTGTTGTGAAGCTATAAACTTTTGTAATATTTCAGATCATTCGGAAGCCCGCCATCAATGTATTGATTGCGAAAAAAAATAAGACGTCACTCAGTGACATGCGCACTGTCGCATGGCCCACTGTCATATGTTCGCTGTCCCCTGCTTGTTTTCAATAGCGAGGGACTATTATAAACCATATCTACGAAAAACGTGAGGACAATTTTAAGAAGAACATGTTTTCTAGGATAAGATCTTAAACTGATGTATGTTCAGCATGAGCGTACAGACTATTGGGGGGAAAAGAGAATAATAATAAAAGAGGGATTTTATAAGAAGGTATACATATATTATATATTTTTTTGATTTTTTGTTTTTTTTTCCAGTTATTATCGAAAACAAATACTTGGAAATCGTATAACCACTAGATGGATGAGAATTTATTCTTTCAATTTTAAGAGTCGAAGGTAATGACTAGTTACCCCTTGTCTTCAGTTATTGAAATATTGAAAATGCGGTGGAAAGAGCTTCATGAGCACCAAGTTGCTGAGTCAACCATTGAAGTCCCTGGGTCGATGTACTTGCGTCAGTCAGTGGAGATGAACCTTGAATGTGCCAAGCTCTGCCACAGCATAATTTTTGTAGGGATAGAATCTCCGTCAGTTCTTCTATGCTTGCACATCCCTCCACGTCCTACATAATTATAAACCATCTTATAATGCGTAATGGCGAATTGTATTGTCAATATATTTTAGCTCTTTAAACAGATGAAATTATGTATCACCTGTTTATTAGCATAAATAAGGACAAGTGCATCCCTGAGCTGCCGTTCACTGACAATCTTCGATAGTTCCTTCTGCGCTTCCTCGAATCTTGATCTGTCGCTTGCATCCACAACAAAAATTACTGCTTGAGCATTATGATAATAATGCTTCCACAGTGGTCGAAATTTGTGCTGTCCCCCGACATCCCACAAAGTTATGACCAAATTCTCATACTCCAGACTTTCTACATTAAATCCAATTGTGGGAATGGGCGGATTCGCAAGAGTGATGCCTTTCATACAGGATAGAATACTCGTTTTTCCAGAGCCATCGAGACCCAAGATCACCACTCTCATATCAATCTTTGTTCCTATATGAACGCGATTGTCCTGAAACAAGTAAATATTTTTTAATGGAGTCGCGCGCTGTCTCGGCCACTGCGCTGCGGCTCAATGACCTCAATCGAGCCCAATCGAGCCTACCCAAGAAGCACAATTGTCCAATAATCATCTTTAGGCCAACTTTATCTGGTCACAGTCGAAAAACCAACATTTAAATAACTTTCCTTTGGATAACAATATCAAATGTTACCTGAAAGACATCTTTCCTACGATATAAAATTGTAGATATCCCCCACAGCTAGCTAAAGGTTATTGGTTATAATTTTTCTATTTGATATCTTCTTATGTTATCGAAAAGTTGTCAAATACCACGAATGCATTTCCACGGACTGAATATGGCACCTACCCAAGTAGCAAACCTTGCGAAAGATATCTGAAAGAATATCAAAAGGGCTGACTAATGTCCGTCCAAAAGGTATCTTGCAGTCATACGATAACTTTTAGTTAACTTCTAGGTAACTTCTAGACATAAGTTACCTTTTTGGACAGACATTAGACAGCCTTTTTGGTATACTTGCAGATACCCTCCAAAACTGTGCTGCTTGGGTAGGGTTATCTTCCATGTCTATCCAAAAGATGCCGAGATTTTTCGACATGGCAGTTCATCGCAAAACAACTGCGTTATCATTGTTATCAAAGTTATCTATTGTTGTTATCAAAAAGTTATCCGTGTTTCCATTTCCCACAGATATCAATGTTCTGGGGAAATGGTGATAACTTAAACAAGACATCGTAGAGTTGTCTTTTCGTTAGGGCGGAGAAGAATATATCTTCATTGGAGACGACGTAACGATTACCTTATTCGGATAACTTTCAGAGGACCTACAAAGGACACCTAAAAGATATCTTATTATTGACGCCATAAAGGTGACCCTTGTGGGTTTCTGTTTTGATCGAGAACATGTGCAACTGCGTCATTTGTATTTCTGACGCGAGATGCGAAATAGTCCTTACGCCTACGACAGTCCTGTAAAATTGTTGAGTCGCGTCGAGGATGTCAGTGGGTTTTATGTTTTTTGGGTCGCTAATCACGAATCTGTCGGTTACTTTTTCGAAAAACTGTCCCTTCAATTGTTATTAACAATTTTAATTGTTTAAAAGGCTTTATCTGGCAAACTATGACAGATATCGAAAAAATGTTCAAACAAAAGATGTTTGATATGTGAAAATACTCATTTTTTGCTTTATACCTTTTCCCCCTAACTATGATAGATACGGAGTTATCGGGGGGTGGCAGCGGAGCGGGCGCCGCGTGAGTACTCGCGCAGGGTGTTGGCGCGCTCCGATGCGTTTGTCGGGATACTCGATGCAGATAGAGAAAAATAGTTTAAATGAAAAATATTTGCAATCAAAGTTCTCATATAATTGATTTTTTGACATTTTTTCCTACAACCAGTAGTTGATGAGATATTGACGCCATCCTGCTGCGTGATCGGGTAAATTACCTAGAACGCTGTTGTTTACTGTTGTTTTACGAGTAAACAATTGGAGATACAGGAAAAAATGTCGCATAATAGTTGATCCCCCATAAAAAATACACACTTTTGATCTTTTGGTCTTTGGCCTAATCTCCATTATTTACAGAGATAGAGCCCGTTGTAATACTGGTAGTTGTTGCCCCCCACGACAGTGCTATGTAAAACGTTAGGTCGCCCCCCGTTAGTCGCCCCCCAAACTCTGTATCTATCATAGGGGGAAAAGGTATAGAACAAAAAATTAGCTGTTTGGAGAATGACTAATTTTAGGGTGGATGTGGGATGAAAATGTGGAGGGAGATGTTGGGAAAATCACTATTAGCCGGATTAAAATGATCACAGTTTATTAGTGGGATCGAACCACTTGAGTCAATAAAAAATACACTCTTTGGTAAAATAAATAACTGTTGATGATCTAAAATTACTGAAACTAAGTTCAGTCACTATAATTAATTGAACTGAAATAATTATCGTGGTGATGTACTGAATGAAAGTATTTAAATTGAATACGCGTGCGATCTACTCAATAGCTAGAGTTCAACTACTTTTTGGGGGTTTCGCAATCCCCTGACCGCTCCACCCTAAGGTTCCCGATGGTGCTCGAGGATAATCAGTAGGACCGACCGTTTAACTGATTGCTGCATTTCAAACAAACAAAAAATTAGCATTTTTACATATCAAACATCTTTTGTTTGAACATTTTTCCGAAATCTGTCATAGTTTGCCAGATAAAGCCTTTTAAACAATTAAAATTGTTTAAACAATTCAAGGGACAATTTTTCGGAAAAGTAACCGACAGATTCGTAATCAGCGACCCAAAAAACATAAAACCCAATGCCATTCTCGACGCGACCTAACAATTTTACAGGACTGTCGTGGGGGGAAGGACTAAATGCCGCGAAGTTATAGATGTGCGAATCCGATGCGGATTTCTGGTCAGAAGGGACACAATGGTTTGGATTTGCGGCCCATTTCCTCGGTAATACACAAGAAGTTTCCCTTTCTACCAAAGTCTGCGAAAATCTGGGGCCAGTGCCGGAAGATGGCCCCGAATTATTTGATTCCACCCGTCTCAATGGTGAATCTTCATGATACACATCTTCGATGTTCGGACACCCCACCCTAGATATCAAAGCCCCAAGCCGAAACACCCGAACCAAACCCAGATGTGATGAACAGTTCTCTGAGATCACGTCGGTCTTTCCATCTCGACGATTCCGGCATTTCAATCGATGAAGAAGCGGACAATGTATCTGAATTCTCCAGTTCCCCCATGTATTCTGATGCGGAAGATGACCAAAGTGACGCTGACCCTTCTTTATCAAAGCGCTATCGATCTTCGGGAGAAATAGAATTGGAAGAAATGCTGGATGGTTTGAAGAAAAAATGCAATGATCTGGAAAGGTACGGTGAGCGCTTGCAAATCTTGACGGTTTTTCCATACTCGTGGAGCGAGCGGAAAATCGCTTCTGAATTTGGCATTACGAGATACATAGCGTCAAGAGTGAAAAAATTGAGAGAAATCAAAGGAGTATTTGCCTCACCAATTGCGAAAGCAGGCCATTCACTTCCAAAACAAACGGTCGAGAAAGTACACAAGTTTTATCTAGAGAATAGTCGTGTCATGCCAGGGATGAAAGATAAAGTATCCGTCAAAATCAATGGAGAGAAGAAAGTAGAGCAAAAGCAAATGATACTCGAAAATCTGAAACACCTTTATAGGAAGTACAAAAATACTCATCCAGAGGCTTTGGTTGGTTTCAGTAAGTTCGCTGAGCTGAGACCAAAACAATGTGTACTGGCGGGAGCAAATGGCACTCACGTCGTATGTGTTTGCACATATCATCAAAATTGCAAATTGATGCTCGAAGCCATCAACATTGCCACTCTAACTAAAGATTCCCGCTGCCCACTCAAGGATTACAAAGATTGTCTAGCACAACTGCTGTGTACAAATCCAACCCCAGCCTGTTATCTGGATGAATGTAACGATTGCCCTGGGGTGAAACCCTTCTCATGTGAACTGAAGAAGCTCCTTTCTGATTCTGTTGTCGAAACTGTCCAATTTTGCGTGTGGCAAACTACTGACAGGTGTATCTTGCAGACACAAACGCTTGCGATGGATGACTTCGTCGATCTTCTTGTCGAACGATTAAAAGTATTAAAACCCCATCACTGCATCGCTAAAGAACAATCAGCTTCTGTTAAAGATCGAAAAGAGTATTTGAATAACGGCGAAGTACTAGTGCACTGTGATTTCTCAGAAAATTATGCCTTTATGGCTCAAGATGCTGCTCAATCCTTCCACTACAACAATGACCAATGTACAGTCCATCCCGTTGTTTACTACTATCATGAAGGAAACGAGATCCAGCATCGGAGTTTAGTTGTTTTGTACGGAGTTTAGTTGTTTTAGTTGTTTTGGTACAGAAAATTCTAATACAACATGTGAAGAATAACTGCAAAGATGTCGAGAGAATCATCTATGTCACCGATGGAGCTGCACAGCATTACAAGAATCGTTACCAAATGGCTAATCTTCTGCATCACAAGACTGATTTTGGAATAGATGCAGAGGCCCATTTCCATGCAACCGCACACGGTAAAGGAGCTTGTGACGGTGTGGGGGCTGTTTTCAAAAGAGAAGCGAGACGTAAAAGCTTGCCAATCGTCCATGGTGAATCCATCCTGACGCCAGATGCTTTGTTTCGATGGTCAAAAGAGAATTTCAAAGGAATTGATGTTTTTTTTCACCAAGGACGAACATGAGAATATAAAAACTGAATTGAGGGAATGATTTGCTAGTGCCAAAGCTATTCCAGCCATTCAAAAACACCATTGTTTCATTCCAAAACCGGGAGAGCAATTGTTAATGAAACGATATTCGGCTGCGGAAAACCAAGAAGTTTTGCCGAAACGAAAACAAACAACAACAACAAAACGGAAAGCACTTAGAAAACAGTAATCGTGATGGATAGATGTATAGTAAATCAGTGCAATTGGACAAGCGGTAGTTGGAGACCACTAAGACTGCTATGGTAAATAATAGCCTCTTATTGTAAAAATGTAAAAAGGTCGTTACAGTAAAATAAAACTTGTTTTTCCATGTTTCGCACTTCTTTGGATGAGTACTTTGTCTTTCGAAAGAGGTTTATAATATTGTTGATAGTCCCTCCCATCTAGCAGAAGGGGAAACTGTCGATTGTAAGGTGAAAGAAGCAAAAAAAAGATTGAAAAGAAGAAGAAAAAGAGAAAAGGAGAAAAAATAAGAAAATTGCGAAGAAATCACATTTTTCTGGTGTACTGCTTGTCTCTTCCATGATGGCTTTCCTTTTCATCGTTATGAGCAAAAAATATTGATTGACACATTTGTTTCTTTAGATAGCTCTCATAGATAGCGAAAAAACTCAAAAATTTCAGAGAAAATTTGTTTCCCGACGCATTGTTTCTCTGTTCTATCGTGATGAATCTCTTTCCTAACTCATATTTATCAAAGGTATGGATTGAAATATCAATTTCTTAATAAAGACGAGGCAACTCCCCTAGAAAGCGGAAAAACACGAAAATTTAGGAAACAAAAATTTTCTCCTGGGCACTGGTTGTCTCTCCCATGTTGGCGTATTTTTTTTACATCATATATGGACGTCCTCTATCAGAACAAAAATATTCCAGTCGAATACCGGACGGCCCTGGAGCCGAAGAGAAATAAAAACGTAAAAATTCATCGAAAAATAGGTGTAGAAGCTCCTTCACGCCTATGAAGTATTTTTTCCCTGGAAGTATGAACGAAAACAAAAATTTTCTTTTTTTATTTGTTCGAATCGGATGCACCATTCAAAAGTTATGCATTTTTGAAAATTTAAAGTTTGGTAGTCATTATCTCAGAAACAAAAAATCGTAAGGCAATGAAATTTGGCAGGAATACTGTCTATATATAGTAGTTCGAAATGCAGGAATCAAATCATTTTTTGTAGGCAAAAAAAAATCCGGGATGGCTGAGTTGACATGGAATGTCATCACATATTTTAATATTCGATATTCGTGAGAAATTCAATTGGAAAATTTCTTAGCTTTTCTGCGTATTTTCTCCAATAGAACTGTTCACAAAAAATATTTTACATGTGAAGAATCGAAATCATTTTAATACAATTGAAATATTTTCCATTCCTCGACCGAAATTTTCAAGCTTTTTTGCTTGTTCATTTCGATAGGAGAAAAATAAAGTGAAAAAAATTGGGCGCAGGAATTCATATAGTAAATACCTCAATACAATAAATTTCACAAGAAGATAAAATAGTTGTTTCTTGCCTATAAAATGGTTTCTATTAATGAAGAATAGATTCTATTAAGTATTTTTTATATTTTCAGTGTAGGGACAAAATGCTTCTTTTGTTTGACAAATATTCGAAATAACTGGACCATTAGAAAGTTTCGAAACAATGATCAGGAAAACTACTCATGAAGAATTTCAAAGGGCATAAAAAAAATTCAAACATTTTTCCATAAATCTGATAGATTTGATTTTTTATAGTTTCTCATTTTTGCTTCTAAATGGAAGCATTGAAATCGTTTAACCTCAAGTTTTGGATTTTTTGTGTTACGTCGACCCATTATGAGCCGAAAAGTCCGAAAATGCAAGTTTTAGACCGTGTCCGTACGTATGTGTATATGCGTCATGACCACTTTGTCGATGATAACATTCCCTCAGTTATCTTCTGAGGGGGATAAAACAGAACCCGCTATACCATTCGGCAAAATCGCAATTCTGCAGTATTTTTGAATTTCTCATTCAAATAATCTCCAAATACAAATAAGACTAAAGACTTGACTCTTTGATTGTAGTAGTTGAATACCTGTTGTACTATAAATCTGATAGATTTGATTTTTTATAGTTTTATTTTTGCTTCCGAATGAAAGCATTGAAATCGTAAAAAAAAATAATAAAAATTAATAACAATTACAATTATGTTAAGTTTAGATATCTATGAATGTTGATTTTTTGGTGTTATGTTTATCGCTACAGATCAATACAAAAAATTTCAAAATTTGATATGCTTATTGAAGAAATTTTAGGGCTATATGCCAATAAAAAATTTACCAACTAAATGAATTGGAAGGAATATTATTCTCATGATTATTTTCTTGAAAAAATCTATATACATTAAGATTTTTAATCAAATAAAACCATAAAATACCGCTGTTGTCTCGTCGCCATACTCGAGCTACTATTAATTACCTCATAGTCATTCAATTTTTTTATTGTAAATACAAGTGAGAGTCTATTCGTTCAGCATGAGTAAACATACCTCCAAAGGTAAATTAAAGCGATTCTCGATTGGAGGCATCAATTCAGATCACTGTCTAGAACATTTCGTATTCAAATGTTTAACATAATATTCATTCGTGGGCGCACTATATCGCACCCTTTAGAGGGAAAATATGATAGTTGGTTATAATATTATTACAATTCCTAAAAATGGTATACTAATAATCGTAGGTCTACATCACCTCAGTTACAAAAAAAATTGGATCTAAATTCCACAATTGTAATTATATCGAAGTAACTGATAATTTTTCGATGTATTGTTAAGGTTTGAGAAGAAAAAATTCTAATGCAAAGGCTCATGCAAAAAAATTACATCGCGTAATTCAAAGTGTCAGCCGAAGATGCAACTCTCTTTAATTTCATCAGTAACTCTGAGAATGACAAGTTGAAATGATAGGGATGTTTTTTTTTCGTAAGTTTGTATCATTCTGAAGCATACAATCTGGGCGCCGTGACCTCAACCCGTGAGAGTCTACTCGTTCATCATGAGTAATCATACCTGCAAAGGTAAATTAAAGCGATTCTCAATTGGACGCCTTAATTCAGACCGCTGTCTAGAATATTTCGTATTCAAATATGCACTATATCGCACGCTTTAGAGGGGAAATATAATAGTTGGTTATAATATTATTACAATCCTATTCTAATATCTGAAAATGGTATACTAATAATCGTAGGTCTACATCACCTCAGCTACAAAAAAAAATTGGATCTAAATTCCGCAATTGCAATTATATCGATGTAACCGATTATTTTTCGATGTATTATTAAGGTTTGAGAAAAAAAAATTCTAATGCAAAGACTCATGCAAAAAAATTAGATTGCCAAATTCAAAGTGTCAGCCGAAGATGCAATTACTCTTTAATTTCGTTGATAACTCTGAGAATGAGAAATTTAGATAATAGGGATTTTTTTTCGTAAGTTTGTATCATTCTGAAGCTTACAATCTGGGCCCCGTGACCTCAACCCCTCATGGATGCTTGAACGAGTAGAGAGTTAGAAGCGAAACCGAAATTGTAATCACCCCTATCCCAAGTTTCAACAAGTACAGATTTAATTGTGAATTTGAAAGTTGTGAAGACGAAATTGTAAAGACTTTTTGAAGAATAATTTAATTCTGAAATTAATGTGAACTCGAGTTGCGGACGATTGACAAGTTAATTAAATACAAGAAACTATTTGTGTGACATAAATCTGTGTTCGTGTTAAACAATTATTCAAAATATCTCGCACTTACAGAGCAGAGTGGTTCAGCACTCCACGAGCAACTTACCCGCCCCCTTTAAGTAAAAATACCCAGACGGAAAAGTACCGCACAACACAACGTAGATGTGGGAGCCGCCAAGTGATCTCTAAACTAACTACTGTTCGGGGCAACCAATGAGATCCCCAGGAGGAAACCAATGATAGAGCTCAACTAATGAGATCACTGGGTTCTCTTTGATCCCCGCCAAGAGTAGTTAGTGTAGAGACCACTTGAGGGCTCCCACATCTACGTTGCGATCGCGAATAACTCCCTCCATACTACCTCCATGAAAAAGTATAAGTACTCTTCACGTTTGTAAGAGATCTAATAATTACGGAAACTTTTTTTACATAGTGAAACAGCTATTTTTATTAGTCTTCATGGAAAGTTTCGGGAAAAATCCGCGCGAAATAACTATACAGCCGCTGGGGCGATCTTCTTTACTACTCCCCAGTTCTAAGTGTGAAAACATATGGATACACAAAAAATTATTCAAATCGCTTCATTTGTTCAAAAGATCGCTGGATAAAATTTTGACCACACATATACAAATCGTATCCATTAAAATCGTATCGGGATGATTTTAAGGGTGATGAAACCTTGACAAATCAAAAAATTCTACATTTGACTTTCGGAATAATTACAATGACTTCCTCCTTTTCGGTCGGGAAGTTAATAAAAAAGTAGTAAAAGCAGGACCAACGTCGTTGACACGAATTACAGGATAGAGGATTAGATTGATGCTAGACATTGATTTGAAAAATCTAGCGCCAAGGACGTTGGTCCTTTTTCTACTGATTTTTTCACCTGTGGTGATTTCGTGAAAAAATTCCAGTAATCCAAAAAATTAAGATTTTCAAAAAGCCTCATTTAGTGATTTCATGCATATCTTCTGTCTGGAAATCTCTATCAATAAAAACAATTAAAATCCATTTTTTTAATATTAAAACTGAAGAAGTGTAAACTCATCAGATAAATAAACATAAATAAAGGGGCCTGCCATTTTAAAATTTCAGTACGGTCTCCCCTTCAAATTAGGAAGATGCAATGCTTCCCTTTGAAGGCAAAATAGAAAATGAGTTCATTTTAGGAATCGGGCGAAATCGGATGGACCAATATCTACGACACAATACTTACCCTACTGAAGATAATGGGAATTGAAGATTCAGGAGTCAGAAAATCAGGTCCAAGCTGTGCATATTGCTGCTGTTGTTGCTCCAAGGATCCCAATACTTCGTGTACCTTCTCTGCACCGCCCAGTAATTTCCAATCTTCATTGTCTAATATATTTTCACATTGGATGCAAACATCAGCCACTTGCGATCTAGTAGACATCAAATCCTGTAATTGTTGCCTCAAAGCAGAAAGTCTGCCCTTCATTTCAGTATCCACACATGCCAATGCATTTTTCTCTTGCCCCGCAAGCTGCAGTCTAAGTTCATCGAAATGATGTTTGACCCTATGCCTAGCATCGTCGATGGCCCAGCCTTCTAACTCCTGAATAACGACTTCAATACGATGTGCAGTGTCTCTCATACTTTCCATGAATTGTGTCATATTTTGGAGAGCTGAAATTATGGATTTCCTCAAAGTCTCGGCCTCAATTTCGACGAGAGCCAATTTATGAGCGCTATGACGTCCATAATCTTTGCAGAGATAACACATGAGAGCGTTTTCGCAGCCTTCTTGAACGCAAGTGAATTCAGCAATATGATTCGCATGAATTGGACATTTTGGTTTCTCCTTTGGTTTCTCAGACAATGGTATTCTCCTGTGTTTTCCCAGAGTATTTGACGAGTGCGTTAAAATATCACATGCTTCACACAAATGTGTTGAACATACCGTACAGTAAATGACCGCAAAGTGTGATCCATCTTCGTCGCAAGGTTGTGTTGACTGAAGTCTTTCCCTCTCGAGCGTCGAAGATTTTTCACATCTCGATTGTTCAAGACGTTCCAGTAGTTCAATTAATGCAAAGTTTTTCTTTAAACTGTAAACACCCTCTCGACGGGTTACTTCTGTAGGCTGACGATCAAATGGGCAGAACAGAAATTGAACTTCTGTCATACAAGGCTGAAGACGAACGAGACAAGAATGACATACGGTGTGACCGCATTGAAGTAACCGGGGAACTTTGTCACCTTCTGTAGAGAAGACCTCTTCGCATACTCGACATTCTAATACCTAGTGAAAATAATGTTCATCGGTATTTGAATGTTGATCATCATTCGGTAATAGGGTAAAAGTGGGGAGAAAAATGGTCAGAAAATGTCTATATTCTGCAACTCATTATCTAAGTAAATGAATTCCATTGAAATTAAAAGAATATGAGACATTACCCAACCCTCACTCTCTTGAAAGTGAACGTTCTTGATTTTTGAGGGAATATCTCTTGATGTTTTTCTTCAACATTTTTTTATGACCATAAGAGATATGATTTTTTTGTGTTTCCGTTTTTTCCACATAATTGGCGTTCTAATCAACCGATTTAATTATGTATTTATTTTCCACAATTTTCTATTAATTAGCATTAGTTCGTGTTACTCTTTTTTTGTTCTTTGCTTCCGAATGAAAACTTTGTAATCGTGATTTTTTTCGATTTTTTAATTTTGGGTGGAAATTAGGGGTGTGCGAACTGCTCGAAGGGACGAACTATTCGAGTTGACTCGAATTCTATTATTCGATTCGAACATCGAACCAAATAGTTCGAAATTCGAATATTCGATATTCGTTCGAATCATTCGAACGTTATGGTTCTCGAACTTGTTCTCATGCCTAACGACAAATTCATATAAAATTTCCACAAATTCGTCATTTCATCGTCACTGTTGATTTAAAAAATGAAGAAAAAATCGTGCTTATTTTTATATTAGCCTCTCTGATCATTTTAACCCCTCACGGACGGGGTCCTTTTGTTTCCAAGCGCGGAGTACGCTTGATACGAGTGAAATGTAATGACTTTTAATCAACAGAAAATTAGGAAATCAATATGCAATTGAAGCTACAGTATTCCTTTTTTTGTTGTTATTTATTTAGTGGAGTTAAATTCCATAGTTTTGGAAATAATCAATTTTAAAGAGAGTCATTCATATTTTCATGGGTCGCTGCATGGCATCGACCCCGTACGTGAGGGGTTAACAGTCGTGAGAAGTGTAAGATACTCCGTCTGTGCTGCCAAAAATAATGATATAATTATTTTGAAAATAATGATGAAAATTTGAAAATTCTAAGGTACAACTGTCACAGATATTTGGTTTCCCTCCATTATTTTTCGGATATATATAACAAAGCTCCTCATGCTTCAATAAATTTGTCTATCGGGTTTCACTGAAAAATATAGTTTTCCGCCGTTAGAATGGGGTGCCACAAAGTTTATTTTCATTCTTAAATTCATTAGTTCATTCTTAGGCTATTTCAATTGTATGGTGGGTGAAAATGTTATTATAAAGAATAAATTTTTTTGTTTCATATTCATTGAAATAGTACAACCGCATCAGCAAGTAGAAAGTACTATTCAATTTTTGACTCTCACAAAATGGAATATCCAATATCTATTTCGTTTCAGTTTTAGAAATATGAGTGATTAACTACTATTCTGTCAGTTAAATTGATCAATCTGATATAACTGTACAAAATCAGTTTTATATTCGATTTTAATGAGAACATTCTTAAAAATTACTAAGCAGTACAAAAAATCATTAATTTTTAAAACTTTCTTTTACAGGAAAAACTTTCGAAGCGAAAATGGGAATTGGAAATGGGAAGAACTCAATTTTTCATTTATTCGTTCCTTATGAATTTCCAATTTTCCAATTCTTGAATATATTCAGTATTGTTTGAATCAATAAATCTGAGAAAAAATCGTCCTGAATCAAGTCGAACTGCACCATGTTGAGAATCTACTTAATGCACGCCAAATTGCTTTTTCGATTTGATTCGAGTCCAGTTCGATTGGAATCAAGTCGTGGAATTAATTTGAATTTAGTCTCATCTGCGACTTCATTCGAGTCGATTGCTAAGCATCCTTCAGCGTGGTTATTACTTGGATGGGTGACCGCTTAGGAACACCCTTCGCCCAAAAATTAGCAAAGATTATCGCACCTTACGTTTGTGACCGTTTGTTTTTAACGCTTATTTAATTTCGTGATATTTGACCCTCATTGTTTTGTCCTTATTTCTTACCCTCACGCATAAACCTTCATCATTCATCATCCTGACCCTCACGTCGTAGTCTCAAGGTCCTTTATTTTTATCCTTATGACATGAGCAATTGAACTTGCATCAAGTCGAAATTCAAATTGATTTAATTCGAAATTCGACCTAAATGAAATCGAAATTCGACCTGGCATTGGTCGATTTTTTGGCTTGAATCAATCAGTTCATTCGGTTTGAATTACTCCGATTACTACTCGCATGTTCAGAACTGTCCCCATAGCTCAAGAATTATTGAGCAAAGATGCTGAAATTCTGACTGATAATTGGTACTAGTGAGACTCAAATTTGTGCTAAAGGGTCTAGCCGGATAAGCATGGTGAATCTGCCTCCAGTGAATTTCAATGCGGAAATTTTTTCACATATTGGTCACTTAAAAAACATTTCTGTGCCAGAATTTAAAATCATTATATTGATTCCCCGAATTTTCCTGGCCAAAAAAAATTTTTTTTCGAATTCATTATGAAAACATTCTGAAAAATCAAAAACATCTCACAATTGAAAGGAAAAATTTTTATTATATTTTTTATTGCTTAATTATATTTTTAATCGACACTTCTTTCTTTAAAAAAATAATTCTTATAGGTACAGATTTTTCTACCACTTTGACGAAAATTGATGTAATTCTAGCTTCAATTTCCTATATTTTAAAAACAAAACAAAAGTCCTTAAATTCCACCTGCCACACATTTTTAAAAAAATTAAAACGATGAATTTTCGCGTTTTTCACTAGAGAACTTTCCATGAGTATCTCTACAGGTCTGTTAATTGATTATTACGACTAGACCAGTATTGCGATATATCATACTTCTACAGGATAGTAACTATAGGGCAAAATAACTAGTAAAGCTGGAAAACGATTAAAATCGACTTAGTTCTCATTTGAGTTTGCGAGGAATATCACCGACTTTAAGGGAGATGGCGAAATTTTCGTAGTGACCTTTTTTGTAGCTCTTAATCATCTCTACAAAAAAGATAATGAGAAAAATTTAGTTATTCGGAAAGATGAGCAAACAAGTGGGAGGAACGAGCCAAATGATCAGAAGGGTCAAATTATCAGAAGGGTCGAATGGAAGAGATGAGTAAAATGATCGAACTGAACATATAGGCCAAATGGGAGCGGGTAAGTGGGTAATAAGTATATAATCAGGAGGATCGAATCCAAAACCCAGAGACTTTCAAAATTATTGGATATTTCCTGGAAGCTGCGTTGCACACAAACGAAGGTATCAAGTTCTGCAAATTAAGAATCCCGAGTGCGCAGCACGAGGAATTTGTCTTCAAACTTGACACACTCTTTTCATTGTAGGGGAGCTTCAAGGAAATATACGATTAATTTTGAAGGCTGAGGGGTACTCGAATCATAATTTCCTCAATTCTCATATTCGTCGAAAAAGGTGCCAAGTTCGGGGTTACATGACACTTTTCACCAAAATGTCAGAAATATCCTTCAAAAGAAGGGAAAGCAAGTAATAGGCAACTGTTCAATTCACCCGTGGCCCGGTAAGTTATCGAAATAAAACTGATGTGGAGGTGTCACATGATTCCAAATACTGTACTCTGTGATTGGATGAAATTAGAATAGAGGGAACTATCAAAAAATCTAGAAAATCCGCTCCCTCGAACTGGTGCTCGCAGCGAAGTGAGTTAAAAACTGTAATTTTATTTTATTTTATTTTTTCAACTTGAAAGAACATCCATGGGGTAACAACAATTGATTACTCCCTATGACTCCTATAGAAATCCTTTCTTAAAGCTTTCTTTTTTCAATCAAGCAAAAAGTCAACGTGATAATTTTGCTTTGTTGCCAAGTTTTTATTTATAAAATATTTTATCCCGTCCACTATTTACCCGAAGATGAACGTTCAATTACAAATGTAATAATGTAATGTATTTTATCATAGATTCTGTACAAAGCCTCCTTGCCCTCATTTTTGGTTCTTTTTTTCAATTCAGTTTTTTTGAAATGCAAGATTTGCCTCGTGGTAAAGATTTCATGATGTTTGACGCCTATTCCACTGATTTCCTCGGAGCTTTTCAAATCCAAATTTGACAGAAATCGAAATTTAAAAGAGAGTACCATTTTGCCGCGGAGTTTCATCATACCCGGCGTTTCATTTTGCCCCGCAGTTGTTCTCCTATAAAAGTATGATATGTCCTAATACTAACCTAATCATAATAATCAATCAACAGAACAGACAGCGTTTTTCTAGTGAAAAACGCATAAATTTACCGTTTTTGTTTGTTTTAAATGTATTGCAGGTGGCAACTTGGAACTTTTTTGCTTGGAAAATGTAGAAAATTGAGGCTAGAATCACGTCAATATTCGTGAAAGTGGTAGAAAAATCTATATGTACAAGAATGATTTTTTAAAGAAAGAAATGTCGATTAAAAACATAATTTAGCAATAAAAAATGAAATGTAAAATTTTTCCTTCAATTCTGAGATGTTTTTTATTTTGAGAATTTTTTCAGATTTGTAAATAGCTTTTAAGTACGCATAAAATAATCAAATTGAAAAATAGTACATTACATGCCCGAGCCTTGGAAAACAGATCACCGTTCCCCACGTGAAAGATTGCCTTCCGAGCCGAAGGCGAGGATGGCAAGTACGTGGGGGAGGGTTATATGTTTTCCATGGGCGAGGTGTGTATATTAATTTATGCCAACGACATAAAATATCGTAGGTCACACGACGATAAAAGCATTATCTGACGAATGTGGCTTCATAATCCAAGCCGAAGGCGAGTAATAATACTTTTATCGCCTGATGACATAATATACTATTTCGTATCGAGGGACCTGAAAAACGCCAATTTCGTGGCGCGCAGCGGGAAATCATTTTCCGTGACTTCAGGGAATCATTATATTGATTCTCTGTATTTTCATATAATGATCTGAAATTTTGCACAGAATTGTTTTTTAGGTGACGAAGATGTGAAAAAATTGTCGCATTGAAATTCGCTGGGGGTAGATTCATCATGTGCTTATCCGGCTAGACCCTTTCAGCTCGACCGGTTGAGCTGAAATGGTCTCTAATGGTTTCTGTCGCCTAGCTTGTTTTGTTTTTTTTAAATATTTTGTGCATAACTTACATTTGATTTAACCGTGGTTCTCGGGGAACGTTTCACGGATTTAGCAAAGCGGCTGTTACCCTCAGTCATGACATCAACTTTCCTGATGTTTGTAAACATAAACACTGTATGAAGTAATCCAACCCTTATTCTATGAAACTTATTCTAAATCACGAAATGGAGGGAACTCATGAAATTATTGTAATATATATATTTTTTATTCTCTTCTCAAATCGTTGTTGAAATGTTACGCTCTGAACTTGACTCTTCCCGATAAAAATATTTCGTGACATCTCATCACAACAAGAATTTGGATGACGCAGATGGCAATTAATGTTTACAACTGATCATAATAGTTGACTAATGAGTTTGAGGGTAACTTACGGGTCAAAATTTATTTTGAAATACTATAATTTCTATTGGAAAATTACGTGATCTTCTTGATTAGAAAAATACACTGTAATTTCATACACAATAGCCATGGATACTGTAGAATGCTGTAGAAGAGATACAGAGAAGTACTTTACCTTGTTTGTATCCTTTCGGCGGTAAAATAGGGAACTTGCATGATTTTTTTTTCAATTTTCTAATCTCAAGTTTGGGACCTGAATGTTCATTTTCCATTCACAAACGTTTGAAATAGGTCTCATTAATGAATAATTAAATGTTAAAAGTTGAAGATTTCAAACGCTTTGAAATTGCCAATAACGTCACACACAGACGGTCGAACGCTGGACCAATCACGGAGTAGCTCGCGCCGACCTATCAAATCTTGAGGTGTGCCTCGGCCAATGGAGAACAACAACACCCCATCCAATTTTTTTCCAACAATGAAGCGTCTTCGTGTCTTCGGGACGTCATGACCGAAAAATTGGTCTCAAAAATGACTGATTTTCAATTAATTATCATAATGCATCTAGACAATATTTCGCCATAATTTTCGCCGTTCAGTTATCCATATGTTACGAGAAATGTGTGAATAGGGAATTAGGAAGAATTGAGCTGCATGCAAGCAGGGTTGGGCAAGTAAATTACCTTAGGTAAATTACATGGTTTTTGACCGGTCATAATCTAGGTAAATTACCCGGGCGAGTTGTCGGTTTTTTGACCTGTCAAAAACCTATGTGGCGCCATCTATTAGCACCTTGGTGAACCGGGAGATTTTTACCGAGAATACCGCCTGTCAGAGTTACAAGGGTCAAAATTCGAAAAAATCATACCCACTGAGGTTATGCCTCGCGAGGGTCAATCGTCGCAAAGGTCATACCTCGCAAGGGTCAAACGTGACAATCATAACTTGCGAGGGTCAAACGTCACAATCATAACTTGCGAGCGTCAAATGATCATAAGCTGTTGCAACAAAGACCAAACGGAATAGTTTCAGATTATTTTTTCTTAATTCATGATCATTCCACCCTTGTCATTGTTCTGCCTACAGGAGAGATAAGTTGAAAAATCACAAGAGTTAAAATTAAGACGCAGGCAAGCAGGCAAATCGCAAACGATCAAGAAACAATCACAAAGTAGGTAAATCATAAGGGTCAATCAGGATAACTAGGCCGTGACCTAGTGACCTGTTTGACCCTTGTGAACCTACTTGCTTTTTTTGTTTAAACTTTATGACCGTTGGAACCTTGTAATTGTACCGCCTGGCGTCCCCCGTTGACCCTCTTATTAGTTTCACCCTCCAGATTAAAGGATTGCTTCCGTTGTTTGACCCTTGCGACGTTTGACCCTAAGAAGGCATAACCCTTGCGATGTTTAAAACCTTCGCGAGGATAACCCTCGTGATCGTTTGATCTTGACGATTTCCGGCCGATGTGCCTCTCACTTTTGACCCTTATGACTTTTTAGCTTAGCTTCCTTGTAAAGAGCTTTCTGACACTTTTTGACATTTTTGACGCCCCAGAGGTAAATTACCGGTATTTGACAAGCACGTCATAAACTTCCATCTGCGAGATATGCCTAACCCTGCATGCAAATTCCCTATAGAGATTTTCTCTTTCCTCCGTTCAGGTGCCTGGCAATGCCATTGTACAAAAAATTTGTAAAAATGGAATAGAAATGTAATTTTTCAGTGAATAATTGATCGATAATAGCTTCTGTTAATTATTTCCCCAAAACTCTTTTGTCCAGAAAGTAATTTTAGACACTCTGGATTATCATGCGAGTAGTATGAAGCACGTCGTACCTTCAGTTCTCTCAATAATCGTTAGTTCGCGGCTGTCAGTGGCACCCAACTATATACATATATACTACAAAGCCCTCTTGGGTCTTGGCTTTCATAGACCCGCGGCATTGTTGGTTAGGAATTATCAGTGGAACACAGGCAATTTCCAAAGATTATAATCCGAAAAAATTGAAACTACGCAAGGTAAGATCATCCAACAACCTTTCGACAATTATCTCACAAGTAAACTAACAAATTTTATTATTAATAGCATGTGGAAATATCCGAAACTAAATGCCATGTGTTTGGGTTAGGCGTGTGCATTACCGTCGCATGCCTCACTCCTTGTTCTAGAGATAAAGACATCAATCAAATATTCGTCAATAGAAAATGATAAATGGTATATATTTTCGCAGAAATAAACCAATATGAGTAAGTTCTTCACGACGGGTACGGACTCCGAGTCCGATAGCTCATCCGAGGAGGAGCAGGTACAGAGAGCGCCTGCCGCAACATATACTTTCAGTGATGAAGAGGAAGAAACTAAACGTATTGTTCGTCCAACGAAAGTAAAACGTTACGAGGAATTGACCAATCTGATCAAACTGATTCGTAACTACAAAAAGATCAAGGATATGAGCAGTATGCTATCGTGTAAGTATTTTCCCAGTAATTCCAAAAAACTGAATATTTTAAAAATTCATTCGTCGATTATTACTATGGAAGCAAGCAGTTGGTGTTATTGGTAGTAAGCTTATGAATGGATACCAAACGATTTTTTAATGTAGACTGGAATTCTTCTAACGTAGATCATGGAATAGTGGAAAAAGAATAACAACAATCAATACATTGTCAATTCACAACGTTTCGCTTTTTATTACAGCCTTCTCAGGCTCTTGACAAATCAGAGTGCGTGGTCATCATAAAATCTAAATAACATTATCCGAGACACTTCATCTATAACTATTAAATCCAAAAACATACAAAAGTACACCGGTGTTTGTCACGTCATTATGATCGTTGTGCGTTTGATAGTTATCCACTGTCTTTTGTATGTTTTTTGATTTAATATTTATGGATGACGTGTTTCGGATAATATTATTTAGATTTTATGCTGACCACGCACTCTGATTTGTCAAGAGTCTGAGGAAACTTTAATAAAAGTGAAACGTAGCGAATTGACAATGCATTGAGTGTTGTCATTCTTTTTCCACTATCCCATGATTTACGTTAGAAGAATTTAATAACTAAGGAAATGAACTTTGGAGTAGACTGGAATATTGCGCTTTTAAAGATGATAATTTGTAAAGAATTTAATTCTTTAGAGACTGGTCACGCCTCAAATATTGACATAGTATAGAATAACGAAAAAACAATTTCATATTGTATGGTTTTTCGAGTCATCCAGATGTTACAATCAATTATAAAATGATGATATCTTATATTTTTAAGAAGAAAAACATGAATTTTAGATGAATTGCTCTACTGCCGAGCTTATTGAATTAATCGACTCCAAATTTTAGACACAAATGCAACTCAGCAATACTAACTAGTAGCCAAGATTTCAGATATTTTCTCCAACCTTTATTCATACTATGGAACGTCAAATTAACTTTCAAATTTAGGAAAATCAGAAAAACGTCGATATCGAAAACTTTGTATGAAAGGGTCTTGATTTTCTAACTGATCTCAATAGGAGACGGCGGGTATTTATGATGGAAAATATTATATATGACGGAAAATTTCTCACAGAAAGTTGTAATCTTTAAAATTACTCGTTCGATTTCGCTCATCCCAAACTCCACTCTGTAATATCACAAGAGCTACAATCCTATCAAATTTCAACTTCCTATCACAAATTTTTCAAGAGCTATCGTGTAAACATTGATTTTATTATAAAAATAAAAAATGCCATTTGGCCCGAAGCTTTTCCTAATTTTGTATGACTGGATTCGATAAACATTATCATAAAAAATATTTTGAGGTAAAACAAATCAATTTGGTGAAATCGTTTTCGAAATATGGAAAAGAAACCTTTCCTTAACAAATTGCTGTTTCTAAAAACCTAATTTACCGATTGAGCGGGAAGTTAGCCAAGAAGTGCATCCAACAATATCAACTATGAAACAAAATTTCAGATTGTGAGCTATCACTTTACTCCCTTTTTGTGAAGATATATAAAAAATTTGCAAAACACATTTTTACATTTTTTTAAAACATCATTGGTCGATGACAAAGCTTCTATTCCCAACCAATAACACGGGTATTGAATTGATTTTTAGCATTTGAGGATCTCCAACGAGCTTACCAGAAGGCTATAACAGTAATAATGAAGGAAGAAGGAGGTCAAACTCCGCGGTTCTACCTGCGATGCCTCGTAGAGATGGAGGATTTCATAAATGAAGTGTGGGAGGATCGTGAAGGCCGTAAGAACATGTCAAAGAATAATTCCAAATCTTTGACGTCTCTTCGTCAGAAGTTACGTAAATACAACAAAGATTTCGAGGAGGAAATAGCAAAATTCCGTGAGAATCCTGATCAGGAGGATGACGAGGAGGAAGAAAAACAGGAGGAATCTGCTGAATCTGAAGAGGATGATGCCACTTCCATGTTCAAAAAATCAGAGCCAGCAACAACAGCAGCTGCACCGGACACTTCGAAATTCAAGAAAACCCTAGCAGATGATGGGAGTGAGAGTGAGAGTGATTGGGGTAGTGATTCTGATAGCGACAGTTCGAGTAGCGATGATGATGGGCAGTACACAAATATTCGTGAGCGTTTCATTAAAAAAGCAACGGACAAAGATGAAGATGAGGACAAGGCAAAACGCAAAGAGCAGCGTAAAGAACGTAAAGAGAAGGAGCGTAAGAAAAAAAGGGATGAGGATGATGGTGAAGGTGAATGGGAAACGGTTAAAGGTGGTTTGGTTGTTCCCTCAGAGAAACCCAAAATGTTTGCTAAAGATGCAGAGATAAACGTACCAGCGGTTATCAAAAAACTATCTGAAGTTATTGCTGCTCGTGGTAAGAAGAGGACAGACAGGAGAGAACAAATTGAATTGCTTCATGAGCTTCAATCTATTGCTGAGACACACAATCTCGGAGCTGCTGTAGCTGTCAAGATTAAATTCTCGATTGTTTCCTCAATTTTTGATTACAATCCAAAAGTTTCGGATGCCATGAAGCCAGAGTACTGGACAAAACTCCTCGAGAGAATAACAGAAATGTTAGATATGCTGTTGGCTACTCCCGATATGGTTATTGCTGAGCATATAACTGAAGATTCAGAAGAGTTCGTTAATCAACCATTCAAAATTCATGGGTGTGTTCTAACACTCGTTGAGAGACTTGATGAAGAATTCACCAAACTACTTAAAGAGTGTGATCCACACAGTAACGAATATGTCGAAAGATTGAAGGATGAGAAACAAGTGGCTGGAATTATCGACAAAGTTCAGGAATATTTAGAACATCACGGCAGTAGCTCTGAGTTATGCAGAGTTTATCTCAGGAAAATTGAACATCTTTACTACAAGTTTGATCCTAATGTGCTGAAACAAAAGGCCGGTGAAATTCCGAAAGAAGTAGTTACTTCGGTCCAAGTTATGGAGAAGCTGTGCAAATACGTTTATGCACATGACAGCACTGATCGTTTGAGAACTCGTGCAATTCTATCGCACATTTATCATCATGCTCTTCATGACAATTGGTTCCAAGCTAGGGATCTGGTATTGATGTCTCATCTACAGGAAACGATTCAACACTCGGATCCGTCAACGCAGATTCTTTACAATCGCACAATTGCTCATTTGGGCCTCTGTGCTTTCCGCCATGCCAATATTAAGGACGCTCACAACTGTCTTGTTGATCTTATGATGACTGGAAAAGTTAAGGAGCTGCTGGCACAGGGTCTCTTGCCTCAGAGGCAGCATGAGAGAAGCAAGGAGCAAGAAAAAATTGAGAAACAGAGACAGATGCCGTTTCACATGCATATTAATCTGGAACTCCTGGAATGTGTTTATTTGGTTTCTGCTATGCTCATTGAGATACCTTATATGGCTGGTATGTATCCCTGTCTGATGTACAAGATTTTATAGGGGTGAGTAAGGTAAAACGGGCATTTTCGACTTTTTTTCGATGTTGATGAGTCATTAAATACTTGATGAAATGGAACAATTTATTCTCATCAACTAACTAGACTGAACTTGACTAATCAATTTGTTTCTGATTGTGAGTTATGGACATTGCAAAATATCGTCGAAAGTGGTCATTTTACTTCATCCCCCGTTATGTTCATACAACATTACATACTGATGTTCCAAAATTCTACGGTCTGTTCAATAACAATATGCAAATGACCAACGATACAAATATACTCAATAATTGTTTTACCACATTTGGTAGCTATAAGTTGATTATCCGGAGAAAAAGTGTCTAATTTCCAGTGAAATTTAACGAGCCAAAAATCTTGGAAATAAGTGAAATTTTCACTTATCTTACAGAAATATTTCCTTCCATTTTGAAAAATCCCAGAAAAACTTTTAATCCTCACTTATTTTTATTCAAATCTAGTATAATTGTATTCAACCCCTCACGTACGGACTTGATATATGGTATCGACCGATGCGAATGTAAACGCTTGTTTTCAAAATTGATTATTTCCAAATCTATGAAGAATAACTGGATCAGACAAACAAAATTGGAAACCCGACTACTGTAGCTTCACTTAGATACCGGTTTCATAATTTTCCATTCATTAGAAATAATCAAATTTGAGTTGTATTGAGCACACACTACGCTTGGTAACGAAAGGGCCCCGTCCGTGAGGGGTTAAAGTGTGAGGCACATTTTCTGTTACTTTAATGATATCTTGATTCTGTAACTGAGAATTTTGAGTTTTTTTTCCATAAGAATCTTAATGTTTTTAAATTGAGCAATATATCCGCTTGACTCCATTAACGTTGAATTAATATTCAATTATTATAGAATTTCATCTCTTCCAAATGTTCTCAATTTAAGGATGTAGAGGCAACCTGCGTCCTTGAAGCATCCAACAATTTTTGATTGAAGAACATTCCTAACTTGTAAGGCGTAGATTATTGGTACTGAGTTGTAAGGATTAATAAAAAATTAATTAATGAGTTTCTTATGCACAGTACAATGCCCTCTAAAACCGTTAATTTTTCAAAAACCAGTAACTGGATTCTGGAAACTAGAGATTTTTTTTCCTCGTACCAAAAGAGAAATTCCCGTCGAACATTTTAATTTCTAGGAGAAACTGGGGCAAAATGAAACAGTCGAGAAACGACTGTTTGATGAAATTCATGCAAAAAGTTTTCTGTTATCATGTATTTCTTTATCAACTTTTTTTTTTATTATTGGGAGTGCTGATGACAATAATAATTTTCCACTCAGTAGAAATGAACATGGAGTGCGAAAAAAATTTCTGATCTTCGAAATCCCTATATAGCGTATCGACTATCTCCTCAGACGAATCCCATTTCCCTGTTAGATCTGTGAATTTTTACCATATCAATGGAGATGGAGATGAGCCGAGCCTGCCGAGGCCGAAACCAAGATCGAGCTGAAGTTTTGACAGGAAAAGATTTTGTCAATGGATTATTTGAAAAGAAAATGAAACACCAAAATCGAAAGTCCAGAGGAAGGCCCATGTAAAGACCCAGAAGGGGAAAAAGGAAAATGTAATGCTGAATTTCAATCGAATGAAAAAAGAAAAGTGTAATCGCCCTAAGCTAATCAATTGAATTATAGATGAAATATTTCATATCGATTACTTGAAATGAGAACTATGGATAAAATTAGTAAAAATTATTAATATTGTCGTCTGGATGTAAGAAATATATGAAAAACATTCGAGAGTTTCAAACGAGGAGAGAACATAGACTCCACGAAGACGAGGTCTTAGTTTGGTTGATGAAAAGTCAGGGGACAACCGGACTAGTGGAGGTTGAAATCGAGATCGAACAGGGGAGTGGGATTCATCTGTGGAGGTAGTCGATACGCTATGTAGGGGTTTCGAATATCAGTAATTTTTTTTCCTTTGTACCAAATAGAAAATTATTATTCTCATCAGCACACTTAGTAATAAAAAAGTGAGTAAACAAAAGTTTACTGAAAAAAAATTTTTTTTGCTTGACTTGTGTCAAATAGTCGTTTTTCGGCTGTTTCATTTTGCTCCTTTCTCCCCTATTTATGGTAAATTATTATTGAATACGCATCGGGATTCGGAGTACAAACTCATTCTATTGTTTTATAGACATAGTTCATTGCATTAATAATTTTTCATAATCCCCCATTACGTAGCTCACGAGTTTGATGCGAGGAGAAGAATGATTTCCAAGACATTCTATCAACAATTACGATCAAGTGAGCGTCAATCCCTGGTTGGTCCACCTGAATCTATGAGAGAACACGTAGTTGCCGCAGCTAAAGCAATGCGCAATGGAAACTGGGCTGCCTGCAACAATTTTATAATTAACGAAAAGATGAATGCTAAAGTATGGGACTTGTTCTACCAGGCTGATAAAGTGCGTGACATGCTGACCAGGTTAATAAAAGAAGAAGCCCTGAGAACCTATCTCTTCACATATTCGCACGTGTATGATTCGATATCCATGCCAACGCTTGCTGAAATGTTCCAATTGAAACGTGCAGTTGTTCATTCTATCATCAGTAAAATGATCATTAATGAAGAACTCATGGCTTCCCTCGATGACCCATCGGAAACCGTTGTTATGCATCGCAGCGAGCCAAGTCGTTTACAATCCTTGGCCCTCCAATTGACCGATAAAGTTAATAACTTCGTTGATTCTAATGAAAGAAGGGGGGGGGGGGGGGGGGGGGGGGGGGGGGGGGGGGGGGGGGGGGGGGGGGGGGGGGGGGGGGGGGGGGGGGGGGGGGGGGGGGGCTATGAGAATCTTGCGTAAGGAATGAAACATAGGGATGAATTTGGAATTTTTTTTTTCAACTGACGGACAGAGTTATCTCGTTTATGTTGATAAAAATATCAGACCACCAACCAGATTATTCAGAAATAAAATATACAATATTCATCCACAAAATTTATTTATTTTGTTCTTTCAAAGTTACTACAATTAATTTTTCTTGATTATCAAAAATTTTAGTTTCCCGTATTCTTTCATCATTATAAAAAATTACAGAATTTTCCTCGAACATGGAGAAAATGGATTTCCTGAGATGGTAGATATCATCATTAGGGGCGAGTTTTTGGTTCAATTGGGATCTTAACGCGCAGTTGAACCGTGTGATGCAAACTGTATTAAGTTACGGGACCTCGTTTCGCTCGGTGGTTTATTGATTTAGTAACGTGAATGTATAAACATCCGTAAACGTGGAACGGTTAAACAAGGAAAAGTTGAATGGATAATGGTCAAATGAAGAAGAATCAAATGAGTTCCGGCCATTGGTCGTTCCACTCTCTGTTTAACTTTTTTTCCATTCGGCCATACCGTATCAATCCTCATTTGGCTTTTCCACATCCGAATTCATCTTCTCTTATGTCAGATGTATAAGGGTCGCTCAAATCTTACCATTTCTTAGGTGGAGGGAGGGGGGGGGGTGCTTAAAACATTCAAGAACCTCCATACATCTATAATATGTGGACAGCCCCAAACCAGTGTAAAGGGAAACATAGCAATTATCAATTTACCATTTACTATCTTTTATATTTCAGGCAATTTCTTTTCACGAGGTGGAAATCAAGGAAACTTCCGGGACCGTCAGAATTACAATCGACAAGGCCAGGACTGGGGTCGTCAGAGACGAGATCGTGATCGCAATCGTGAGGAAAACCGCAATTATTGAGACGGAAAAGAAATTATTGCGAGAAGAAGAATGAGTGGATAACTTATTTGAGTATTTTTATGCTCCGATAGGTAAATAATAAGGAAAAATGAAAACAAGAAAAGTGTCACTTTATATAAACAATATTCCATAATTATTGTACTTTGATCAGTAATATACATTAAATAGTCGAAAATTTCTCTTCAAATGTGAAGTTGCAACTTTTTTACACGAAAATATGATACTTCTCAAGATGCGAAAGTGTGCGCTTTGAATTAGGCATCTTGAACACTTCTAATCAATTTATTTCCGGACAATATACAATCAGAAATCATCACAAGCCGGATTCCTGTGGATTTTTCAATGAGGCGACAGGCAGACACTTCTCCATATGTTATGCCACCAATGACACAGATTATGAACGTTTTTGGTTGTACTACAGCCCTGGGAGAACGCACTTTGCATTCCGGAAGGCTAACAAGTTCTTCGAAGCTCCTGGGATCTGTAGATTGTGCCAATGTGATATTCAAAAATTGTGCCTGAAATGAGGATATAAAAAATCATTAACTGCAATGATTTTGCAAAGAAGAAAAAAGTTCGAAGTCTCCAGAACCAAGTTACTGATTTTAAGAAACTCAATGTCCTAGGGAGCATTGTATCGGGGATAAGAACATGATTACTTAAGTTCAGAAGGAAAATACCTCAAATTCAGTACCAAGAACCTATGTATTTCAAGTGAGAAAAATTTTTAAATCAAGAACTGTAGGATTTTTAAGTCAACTTTCTGATTTAAACGCAGAATACTCAAGAGAGAATAAAAATCAGGAATAATTGAACATTAATGCAACATTAACGGAGTCAAGGTGTCAGAAGATATATTTTGAATAAGAAAGGCTTCAGAAACACGAGTAGACTAATTTTATAACACAAATGCTTTTAATTTGAGAACCCAGATATGTTTGATTCAAGAATCCCAAGTTTCTTACTTTCTTTCGTTGTTTTTTCGGGAAAATTTTTCATAAAATGAGGCTAAATTTCTCTCATTTCCAGGATATTATGGATATTATATATTATAAAACTCTAAAAGTCAGAGATCGTTTCTAGAAATTAGAATTTTTTTTTCTGTGTTATATGTTGAAAAAATGTCCAATTTCCTTGAGTGGATAATACTGACTATAGCTGGTATGTAAGCTCCACTGAACACATAACTAGGACAAGCACTTTTGGTTTCACTCCGTTTACCCTGATTAGGTAAAAGTTTAATTTTTTGAGCATGGCTAGACCACTCTCGGCTCCAGGTGGGCAACTTTTTAAGCAAATTCTCCTTTCGACATCTCAATAAACCGGCAGCTTCAAGTTTGTGAAACAGAGGAATATTTTCATACCCATGGGCATGTAAATACGATTTTTGGATGGCCTGAAACTCATTGGGCGTTATCCCATCACCAGTGATTGACAATAAGCATAATAATCTCAGACTTCTCATTGGATATTCATCTACATTTCTTTCAATGTAATCCAAACATTCTTTCCTACGGCTGGATTCAAGAATTGCTTTTTCTGTACTTTGTAAACCCTCGAACTCAGATCCGAGGGCACCGATAATTGCCTCACAACCAGATATATGCACAGCCAGTTGTTTTTTCATTTCCGTTGTTTTTTGCAGTCTTGTAGCTACGTATCTTCCCATTTCCTCTAGTTTCATATTCTTCGTTGCTTCTTGCTCCGTTTTCAACGATTTAGCCATAGCTCGCAGCTTGGGGAATACATCACTGAAATGTATGTCACGAATATCTTCATATACATGATCCCTTTTTGGATCTAATTTCATTTGATTATTGTCCACCACAGCTGTTGATACATTGATTGATATAACTTCACTCAAAAGTCCAAGGTAAGACACTGGAGTGAGTAGTGTTGAGACAAAGTCGTAACTTCTGTCCATTATTATCAATCCACCTACCTCGCTTTCTGATGTTGGTGATCTCAGACTTTCTTTCATGATTTCCATCATTTTTAGCAGTTGTTCACTATATTTACCAAAAGTTAGAGTTAATTTTGGCCATCCCAATACCATTTGCAGAGACCAAGTACTTTGTGCTAAGGCTGAAAGGAGACCAGTATCTCGGTAGCAATACAAATCCGAGAACATTGATGTTTCCAGAGATAAAACATTACCATCTATTTGGATTGCTTCCCAAGTCAGTGGGCGTGTTGTTACCAGGTCGGACAAACCTTAAAAAGCATTCATAAAATAATGTTTTCAGGGGAATTAAACAAAAAGAGATTATAAAAAAGTCACTCATTGATTATTCCAGTATTTTTCGTTATATTTCGCATTTGTTATGTTTCGATTTTTTTGCATGGTTTGGTTGAATTTCGTAAAAAAAAACATATTTCTTGAGATGTTCGGAATTTTTTTCGAAGAATGTTTCCTAAAATTCAGTTATGATGTATGGATTTCACTCAATTATATCAGTGCTCCTCGCCACAAAAAGTTTTTTTTTCTTCGATTTGAATCTGTCAATGAATTAATAAACTTGATCCTTGAGAATATTCCGGGGGAAGATATTTAAACGGATACAGCCTACTGAATAGTTTTAATTAAACGAATCACTACATAGATTTTTTTTTCAAAAGTGGGTAATTTGGAAATTATGATAGCAAGGATTTATGGACATGTTTGGTGTTATAAATCTTTATCCCATATCATTACCGGGTGAGTTATTCCGACATACCAATAGAAAAACAAAAATATATTAATAATTCTACGCATTGGATTATATATTACATTAATTCACAACTTGCATATTTCAGCAGTAGCATGCAGTAATATAATTGACTAAATATTTCAAAACTATCTGATGATATGATTAATATGTTTAAAAAATGAAAAAAAAACAGTCGTAGCCCCTTCATATTTCAAAAAGAGTAAATTATTATCATATTTAAAAAATCTCATAAAATCTTAAATGACCTATTATACATAATGGACCATTTCTTCATGTATCTGAGGTTTTGCATTAAGAGCTTGTATCCATTTCACGATTCCATACCTTCTTCCTCTATTAGAGAATGAATTACAGCAGGAACTCGGGGTGTCGCTAGTATGTGAAAGGATATTCCTTGAGCTTGAGAGATTTCTGACTGGATTTGATCTAATACTCGTTTGCATGATATCAAATCACAGGATGTCAAAAATATTCTCTGGGTATTGGTCGGTTTCAACCCTGGCTCCAATTTGAATATTTTATCCACTCCGTGTCTTCTAAATGTCCAAGAATGAAATTATTTCCAGTCAATACATTTCTCACAAATTATGCGCCTTATCTATTCAATGAATCAATTAAATTACTTGAGTACTGTGGCCCCAATAAACGAGTCCAAGGGTTTCATTAATTTCTGCTCTATTATGAGATCTTTTTTTCCTGGGATTGAATTCAATACTTCGACAAATTTTCTCTGGCTGATTTGTTGTAACGCACTCACTCTATCATCGAATGTAATATCCATTTTTAAAGATGAAAATGCCTGTTAATGATTAGAGAAATGGGTTACATTGATGCAGTAAATAATTGCTGTAAAAAAAAATAACAAATTTGAGTAACTTACTGTCATGGGACGTCAAGAGTTATCACTATTATTACGGTCGCATCTTTTCAAGTAGTTGACTTATAAAATTATAGACAACATGAAATGTCAATGTTTTTTTAAGGACAATAATAATTTAATAGTGCTATAAATGTTTTTTCCTATTTATTGGGGTTTTCAATTTGTCCTCATTCACAAGATGACGCCATAACCTCCTTAGGATAAAGGAAACAAAAATTGGTCTGCCATTTTTCAATTCTCGAACTGTCCGTCTCTCGAGGTATATTTGTCGAGTCGATTATCGACATGATCGGGGAACTTGGAGCTACAAACGACTAAAATGTTCCCTTGCCAGCTGTTTCTTGGGGTTTTCTTTATATTTATTGAGACGAAAAAATTTATATTCTACTCTCCTCATCAGTAACTTCCGTTCTACTTATCACTGAATCGAGAAATAGTGATACCTCAATGCTGAAAGGATGACGATACATCTCTGTCTCTCGTAGTGAGAATTCGTCCTAAGTGAAAGTGCATTGGAGGATTAATCTTTTCAATTGATGACAACGATGAAAATTCTCAAATTAATTAAATTATAAAATGTAAGTTGCACACTTAATAGTTAAACGCAGAAGTAATAGACCATTTATAATCACAAATTCATTCGCAGGGACACATTGCGAATATTTTTCACATGAGTATGCATATGTAATTTGTTCAGCATTGAGTATCTGCAGAACATTTTTATAAAATAAAATCCGTTCTTCAGAAAATCTTTCAGTGGCCAATAGATTCATAATAAAGTATGTTGGTATAGTCAAAGTTATTTCTGTTGAGAATTTTTCCACGAATTGAACAAAAACGTGTGTAAAAAGGCACTGGTGTCCACTTCCACGAAATCGTGAGCTGTGATGTGCTTTGTTTTGTCTATGAAACCACTGACATGATAATGGGATATCAGAATGCTCACTTTATGATCTTTTCAGAAACGATGGAGGTTCGGTACTTGCCAGATAATTTACAAGGTTCATTAAACAATGAAATTCACATGGTGAAACTTATCAATGAAGCTGGTTGGTGATTACTCCAATTTTTTTAAGTATCAAAACCACACGAGATTAATTTTCGCATTCATTTTCTAGAGAGCAAGATACAAATTGTCACGAAGTCTCCAACACGAAGGTAATTGTTGTCCAAAATATCTTTCAAATATTTTCTTCTCATTTTAAATATGAGGCTTGGAATTTGCAAATTCTTCGAATATATAATGCCTGAATTCATCGGTCCACTGAGAGGAAATAAATCATTCATTCTTCTTCATCAATTGTCTCCGTGAAAATATTGAAAAATTGGGGAATAAGTGCATACGCGAGTTTTGTCACATAAATTATCGATACGATTACAATGTTTGCTTTGGGTCTCCAGTATAGTCATCAGTGTTATCGCTGCGTCCATTATTTTTACAAGTATGTAAGGCATACTCGCTTCGTGATGCGAAGCAAACCGTACAGTAAGCGCTGCTGCTTATTTCCTTTTGCAGTTATAACTGAGACACTCAATTATATCAGTGCTCCGCGCCATAAAAAAAAAGTTTTCTTTTCGCTTCCAGTTGAATCTGACAGTGAATTAATAACTTTGATCCTTGAGAATATTCGGGGAGAGGATATTTAAACGGATACAGCCTACTGAATAGTGTTACTTAAGTGAATAACTACATAGAATTTTTTTTCAAAAGTGGTTAATTTAGAAATTATGAGAGCCAGGATTTTTGGACATGTTTGGCATTATAAAGCTTTATCCCATATCATTACCGGGTGAGTGCTTCCAACATGCCAATACAAAAACATAAATACATTGATAATTGTACGTATTGGATTATATATTACATTAATTCACAATTTGCATATTACAGTAGTAACATGCAGTAATATAATTGACTAAATATTTCAAAACTATTTGATGATATGATTAATATGTTTAAAAAATAAAAAAAAAACAGTAGTAGCCCCTTCATATTCCAAAAAGAGTAGATTATTATCGTATTTAAAAACCCTTATAAAATTTTAATTGACCTATTACATGCAATGGACCATTTGTTCACGTATTTGAAGTTTTGCATTAAGAGCTTGTTCACAAAAATTGCAATCCTTACATTCTACTCACACGATAGACATTAAATTCTACTACATTGAAATGTACCAACCCAATTATACATTAATGCAATCTGAATTCTACATTTTATAATTCAAACTTGTAAAATTTTTAATTTGTTAGGTGCAATTCGACAGGTGTAATGAAGCATGTGGAATTCGAGAAAAACAAAATCTACCAATCCTTTATATCCAAAATATTTAAAGCCCGTGTTTTATGAATTTTTGTGTATTTCATGAATTGCACATAATTGAATAACATGGCGAATAGCGCACAAAAAATCAAATATTTACAAGTTTGAACGGTACAATGTATAATTCAAATTGCACAATGTGTAATTGAAATTGTCCATTACCAATTAATAGATTTCAATATGTATATCGTGTGATAAAAATTTGAAGATTATAATTTGTGTAAATCGAGTCATAATGTAAAACATTTTATGTGTCAAAAATGAAAAGACTCCACTGTGTGCTAAGTAGGTCATTTTGTTTAAAAAAATTCGTGACGGCGGTAAAGTATGCCGAAACAAATTTTGATTTCAGTCAACACTATTTGACACCAAATTTTGACGTTTCCTAATAAAACAAGGGTATTTCGATTTTACTTTTAAACCAAGGGTATCTCATAATTAATGTTAAGACTAGGGCATGTCACAATTTATATGAAAAATCGTCTAAAATCTTACATTTTCCTGCTCTTGACAGCTACATAAATGGTATGAATGCAACAAAAAGTACAAATAACATGAAGTCGTTCATATTGGAAGAGAAGTAAAATGATTTGCGAGCTCCAGGAGACTTCGAAATGGATGTGAACAACAAGCTTTCACATGAATTTTGAGATACCCTTATTTTAAAAAGGAAATTGAAATCCCTTTGTTTTACTAGGAGATGTCGATTTTTCTTGCAACTATGTGCTTATTTCTCAATAGAGGATACGGGGGCAAAAGAGTCACTTTACATGTTAGATGTTAAAATCACATTGAATTTTTGAAGAAATGGAATAATTTTTTTTTCTTAAAAAGTACACCTCTTTCTCTTTCTGATGAGCCCAAGCTGAGTTCAAGTGATCAATATATTCCCGATTTATGAATATTAAAAAAATCATTGGACTGTTCGTTTTAGCCCACCTTTTCCTATTGACAATTGGTTGCTGGATAGTTGCCTACTTATTATTATAACTATGAGGTAATAAGTAGTGGGCGATAATTTTTACCTCCTGTAAGAAGATTGCGACGGCAAGGTCACGTCTGACACTAAATCCCAATGATCTTTCATATTTTGTTGTCATTCCGGCCGTAAGACAGCGTTTCAATCTCTGCCTACGGCCGTCATGACAAAAAATATTGTTCGTCATACGGCCAAAAAAAAACTTTTCTGACGAATATGATTGCAGCCCTCGTCTTCGGCTCGTGCTGCAAACCTCATATTCGCCAGAAAAGTTTTTTTCGGCCTAATGACGAAATATACTATTTTTTCATGACGGCCGTAGGTAGAGATGAAACGCTGCCTTACGGCCGGAATGACAAAAAAAAATTTTCTGACGAATATGATTGCAGTCCTCGCCTTCGGCTCGCGCTGCAAACCTCATATTCGCCAGAAATAGTACATTACATGCCCGAGACTTGGAAAACAGATCACCGATCTCGCCTTCGGCTCGGAAGGCAATTTTGCACGTGGGGGAGGGTGATATGTTTTCCATGGCGAGGTGTGTATATTAATTTTCAGGTCCCGTGACACGAAAAGTTTTTTTCGGCCTTATGATGAAATATACTATTAGGTGGTACTTGATCGAAACATTTTGTCTCCCCCCCCCCTTGAGAAATCACGAGACTCGAAAGAGCCAAGCGAATAATTGGAGCACGCGTTTGTGCCTTTCCCTCTCGCGGCTCGCATGCATGCTCGATTCTCCAAGCGACTTGGCATTAGTCTTCGAATCTTTTACATATCATCATATGCCGAGATATTTCTTAAATTTCATCTGACGTGGCATTCTCGTTAATATTGTCACTGCACAATGACTGCATACATCTCTGTAAATTCATTTCCCACAAAATGGACACACAGTGGCTTTTTTCAATTTGGAAAACGTGAGAAATTTCCTGGAAGAGGTGTCAAATGTGCTCTTGATTTTGAAGATGAACGATTATTATGGTTTGTGGAATTTATTCCATTTATTCTATACTGCTGAATAATGCAGTTTGGCAAATTCAGTGAGATTGTGGCGATAATTTTTTTTTCATTTCCGACGTTCCCCTTTCTAATTGAAACCTTGAATTACATTAAGAAAGTGTCCAGTATGAAAGGTTTATAACGGCTAAAATTTGAAATATCAAGCCACATGGCTTTGTCAAAACCACATTTTTTATAAAACGTCATATGAATAATCTGTATAGACCCGTTAAATTCTCCTTTGAATGAAAACAATAATGATCCATCTGCAAGTGAAATTCTTGATAAAATATGAACTCTATGTAATATTCTGAAGCCATTTCGGCCTATATTCGTATCGAACAAATGTGAGTCTAGTTGCGGAAGAGGAAAACCCCTCCATATCTAAATGAAAGTAGAAATCTATTAGAGCCGATCAAATCTCTAGTGATAGGAGGCTGCTTTGAATTACTCACGACAGTTGAGAAAATTATCTGAAATTACATTAACATCCACATTCCGATACTATTTGGAGTCTGTAATACAAAAAAGTACGAGATTAAAGGTAAACTTTTTTCAGTTTTACTCAAGTTTACATACTTTTTGTTCTATTTGTCAATGAAAATTCCGATATCCGTCACCTGAATGTTCGCATTGTGAAAATATTAGTATCGCATTTACATCCGGCTTCCGGTTACAGATAACGATCAAACATTCGATCTCGTTTCATTGTGTTTCCATGCATTCACTATATGCGCGCACATTCGCTACCATATCAATGAGACATTATCGAAATGCCACTGAGACCCCCACTGATGTTGATATAAACGTAAAAGAAAAAAAAATGAATGGATGCACACCGCCACAAACACTGATGTGCCGTGGGCAAAAGTTAATGCTCCTGATTTAAACCCGCAGATAAGCAATGACTTATCAGTTTGACGATAATTGCGTTACATTATCTTGGTGTATGTGAGACTATCGTACACCCCAAAATCTAGTGGGTAAAAACGTATTATCGTAGAAGGGATCCGAGTATCGACCATAATACGTTTCTATTGTCTTTGAAGAGATTTCAAGAGATTCGAAAGTATATATTGTACGGAAAGAATCGCAGTAAAATCGAACTAATTCTTTTTACAATTCATTTTATTTAATTTATTTTACACAAACATTTCGTGGGTTCAATGCGTATATCACGAACGAGTGTACCGTACCCTCTATCCGAGCGAAAGGCCTCTCTGTTTAAATTGCTCTAGTTCAGTGAAAAAAATCTAGCATATTGTCTTGAAATGAAAATAAGAATATAGGTAATCATCTCTGTGTTGAATCATGCTTTCAAAATAATTTTCAAAAAAATTGTAGAATTGTGACAGAGCGATTTGTATAAAAAAAATGGATTTTGAGGGATTCTTCTCAGAACCATTAACTCAAAATCATTGTTATTTATAAAGACATAGTTTGAAAAACATTAAAAAAAAGAATTCATCACCTTTCCCAAAGTATTCCTAATCACGCGCAGTTGGAATTTTTGCGAAATTTATGCTAGTTACAATTGGCAATGTCCAAAGATTTTATTTTCAGTAAAAATCTACTGGATAAATAAATAAGCATTAAATAAAACTCACCATGATCAGAGTATAACTAACTTACATATATAGTAATAACTCTCTATATCATCATTCTTATTGCATTACTCCATGTTTTTTTTCTTACTGAGCTACCGCAATCAAATTTGAACAGAGAGGCACAGACTTTTCACTCCGATAGTAAGAAGAAACCTTAAGTATCGAAACCATAAATAAATTCCGACCAGTAACATTCGACATGTTGAGATTATTATGATTTTTCTTCATAATTACGATAACTAGAATGTTTAGGGTTTACTACTGGTGAGGTGAATTTTGGAGAATATTTCTTTGGAGCTAGTATTTTTGGAAGTCTATAAAAACATTGAACAATTGGGCCTTTTTGGGAATGTTGCAATCTATCCAATTTCAACATTTGTGCTGCTTTATAAAATAATTGTTCCATGACGGGACTTCTGTGAAAAATTCATTTGATTCATTCGAGATTTTTTGTACGAACTATGCACGCTTGAGGGTGCTGTAATTTTGGATTCGATAGCGGCCATTTGGATTATCTCCCGCACGATAAAGTCATCAGTTTCGAAGTTTTCTAACTTCTATTGCTCAATGAGTTGTAGATCATTGCCATGGCTAGAAGTGAGGACAGAAAGCCCCTGATTAAAAAGAGTTACGTCTCTGTGAACGTTAATTGGTGAGCAGCTCTATATTCTTGAATCAACCAGTGTAACAACCATAAGAATTACAATGTGACAATATTATCGACGTTTCAATCATCTACAACTGACATTTAGAACGTGTAGTACATATTGCAATTTCATTGAAATGCTGAAAGCGTTTGACTTTTCACATTGTTCTAGATCATTTGAAAATTGTATGAACTTCATGTCAGTAATGTATTCCAGGGAGAACAATTACTATGTCGAGATCATATTTGCCATCTTCATTTCATGCAACTTGTTCGATTATAGCTTTTTTATACATAAATATTGCAATTCAGACTGACATGCTGTGTTTGTGATTAGACAATACTGAATAGTTTTAACTCGGCATATCAGAATGACGTCACTATTTTCTTCAGAAACAATATCAGTTATTGTGCTATCATAAACTTCATTCATAGAGCACGTATAGATATTCAAATTAATGCCGTTTTTGTCTTTTGAATAATAAAATGAGAAATTTTGCATGTGAATTGCTACTGAATGCGTATCGACCGTTTCAATCTCATCATTATTAGTTCTTCTTCTATGATTCGTTTCAAATCCACCTAAGTTTATTCTCTTCGGCCGGACATATATTCAGAAGAATTCAAAGAGAATAGTATATTTCGTTACGAGTGCGGAATAGTATATTATGCCACCAGGCGATAAAAGTATTATTCGCCTTCGGCTCGGATTATAATCCACATTCACCAGATAATGCTTTTATCGCCGTGTGGCATACAGTATTTTATGTCGTTGGGCCCGAGAAAACCGCGATCTAACCGAGCGAAGCGAGTTTTTTGGATCGTGGGAGGTTTATAGCACGAGCCGAAGACGAGACTATGTGGGAATGGGAAAAGTGTTTTTTCCCATTTCCACGAGTATCGAACGATATTTTTCATCACAATGTGCAGAAAAAGGGACGTTTTAGACACGCGAAGCCAAGTTACAGTCATGGTTTTGGAAGGAATTGCACTGACAATAACAAATTAGTTATTCAATTTCATAAATCAAATCCTTAAAATTCAGTATCAAAAACTTACATATTTCAAGTGAGACCTTAAGTCCTTAAATCACGAATTATTGGGTATTTAAATTAAGAAGTGTTGCTTTTTTAAATTAAGGCTCAGTTGCACCAGCTTCAGTTAACTACATCGTCAGTTAAGATACTACCTCAGTCAGTTATATATGGTGAAAATTTTGCAATGTCCCAGAAACCCAGAATGTAGATCATATTTTGCTAAGCACATTCAAAAACCATTGCCAAAATTTTCATCATTTCGTCCACGTCACTTGTGAGATATACGTCATCGGGATAATTCAAATGAGGCTGCAGGAAAAATAAAAAATTATTCTTCAGGGTAAATATTCAAAAATGATCAAAAAAAAAATTTAAAAAAAAAGAAAAAAAAATTTAAATTCAAATAGAATTGAAATTTAGAGAGAAAAAATTCCGATTCGCCCAGCCGGGATTCGAACCCGGGTCTCCCAGTTACGCGCCGGGCACTCTTACCGACTAAGCTACCGGGAACCACGGAAATTCTCACTCCAAATTCAACTCAGCACGCCGCCTAACCACCTTTAGGCATTAAATAAATTCAAATAGAATTGAAATTTAGATCCTAGAAATGAATTATATCCTATGTAGATCACCCCTAGGATATAATTCATTCCGACGATAGATTTTACCCTAAGGTAAAATCAAGCTGTTGAATAGAAGCTGTTGAATCCTGTTAGCTTAACAGGATTTGTTGTAACTGGGGCTAAGAAAATATTCGAAACCGATAAAATTCAGAAATAATTGAACATCAATTAAAAAGTTTTCAAGCCGAGATGAGAATATATGATTTTCATTACACTTTGGGTTCGTCAAACGTCGTTTACGGTTGTGAAGCAAAATTACGTTCGTCACTCGACCGAAAGGAACTTTTCTGACTCGTGTGATTACATTCCTTGGCTTCGCCTCGGTCTGCAACCCTCACACCGACCAGAAAAGTTTTTTTCGACCTTGTAATGAAAATAGATATTTCGTCCCGGCGGGCGCGAAGTACACGGACGGTAAAATGAAGGACCCTTAGGTACCCACGTGCTTACCACACGTAGGCACGACTCCTTTAGTTTACCTCCCTAGGTTACAAATATATTATTAATTAGTTTTTGAGCAGGAAAAATAATCAATTCAATAACGTGAATATTCGTAATCAAAGATTTCGACTATTCTTGATTCGAGAAACCCCAAGATACTCATTTTAATAACTCAAAGATGCTGAATTCGGAAATCAAGATTTGGCTTAAGTACAATTATACTAAATTTATGAAAAAATGGCTGAGAATTAGATTTGTTTCAGATTTTTAGGGAAAAATTTCCTTAAAATAAGTGAAAATTACGCTTATTTCCAGGACTTTTACCACGCTGAATTCCAGTGTACTGTTAGAAAAAAAATGAAATTTCATGGATTGGTAGTTGACTACTCATTTTCAGGACAGTGGAACTGAAAGCGATTTAGGGGAAAAAAATCATGAAATTTCAGGTTTCACAGAAAATTTATTAAGATTCCAGAATTTTAAGGGGAACGAAGGCGAGAATTCCTCAATTTATTTTAATTTCCAATTTAATATCAATATTCAGTGTCAAATTGCATTGAATTTTCAGTGAAATCTGAAATTTCATGATTTTTTCCCCCCTAAGTCGCATTCAATGTCATTGTCCTGAAAATTCAAGAATATAGTTACCAGAATTTTCTGGTTTTCTATCCATTTCCAGGGAAAAATGGAACTGGAAATTTGGAGTTCTGTTTGATTTTTCCACGAAATTCTGAATTATCAATGATAAAATTTCCTAAAATTTCAGTGGAATTGTAACACGATAAAAATTTCCAGAATTTGGCACGGAAAATTCAGACACACATTTTGAACAGTGTACGACGGAGTTTTGAAGTTCAGAAATTTATATTAGAAATCAGAAATTTTCTTTCTCCATCAATATACCAGCCTCCTTATGAACTGTTCTTTCTCAAAAGGCAATCATTTGACCTGGATTGATCTTTACTTGAATTGATATTTCAATGCAAAAATGTTGTAGGGATGGAGATGATGACGCGGAATTCGAGAGGACAACACACATGGTGCAAGTGCCCAGGACTTCCCATACAACGGGCAAAACGAGCCTTTCAACAGTCAAAATGAAAATTAATGGAATGAGCTGTCAGAGCTGTGTCAACAACATTGAGAGAACAATAGGTGCTCAACAAGGTGTGAATAACATTAAAGTACTTCTTGATGACAAGACTGGCTATGTAGATTATGATTCAAGAGAAATATCTGCTAGTGAACTAATAGAAGCGGTCAACGAGATGGGTTTCGAGGCTTCCTTAGATGAATCAGAATCAACAAACTCTCGAAATGAGTTAAATTGTTCCATTCATATTGATGGCATGACATGTCAGTCCTGTGTGAGAAGCATCACTGACGTGATTCTAGGAAAGCCGGGCATCATAGAGATCAATGTCTCCCTTGGTGAAAAAGAAGCAAAAATGCGTTACAACGGTGATGTAGTACCAGATCAAATAGCATTTTATATTAAAGAGATGGGGTTTGATGCATTTGTGAAAGAAATCAATGGCCAGCCCGTATCTTCGGAAGCTGCAGTTCAATTGACAAATCCAACACTAGGAGAAACACCGGTAGTTCTAAGCAATGGTCGAATTTCTGATGTGGGAAAAGTGAAGGAAGACATTGTCAAGTGTTTTCTTCACATAAAAGGTATGACTTGCGCTTCCTGTGTGGCCGCTATTGAGAAACACTGCAAGAAGATATACGGAGTTGATAGTATCCTCGTTGCCTTGATGGCAGCAAAAGCAGAAGTGAAGTATTATCCAAGTAAAATTCGACCACTTGATATTGCGTCAAGTATTACAGAGCTTGGATTTCCTACAACAGTAGTTGATGAGCCCGGCACTGGTGAGGCTGAGGTAGAACTTCAAATTTCAGGGATGACTTGTGCATCATGTGTGAATAAAATTGAATCAACAGTATCAAAAATACCTGGAGTCAAATCAGCAGTTGTTGCCTTGTCAACACAACGTGGTAAATTTCGTTATGATGCTGCTGAAACTGGTGTTCGTGATATAATAGAAAAAATTAATAAAATTGGCTTCACGGCTAGTTTATTCAACAGCAAAGAGAAAGATAACAGAGATTATCTTAATCAACAAGAAGAAATTCGGAAATGGAGATCAGCATTTCAGATATCCTTGGTATTCGGCGTACCTAGTATGATAATCATGACCTACTTCATGTTGGTGATGTCAATTGAGAAGAAAAGCCACAGGGATATGTGTTGCATTGTACCAGGTTTGTCGTGGGAGAATTTGCTGCTTTTTATTTTTTCTACGCCTGTTCAATTTTTTGGTGGTTGGCATTTCTACGTTCAAGCATATCGTGCTCTAAAGCATGGTACAACCAACATGGACGTTCTAATTTGTATGACGACAACGATATCCTATGTTTATTCTCTGTGTGTGCTCATCGCGGCAATGATTATGCAGGAACACATGAGTCCTCCAACCTTTTTTGATACTCCACCAATGTTACTGGTATTTATCAGTCTCGGAAGATGGCTAGAGCATGTGGCGAAAGGAAAGACATCTGAAGCACTATCAAAATTACTTTCTTTGAATGCTGTTGATGCTGTACTTGTTACTCTTGGTCCTAACAATGAAATTATATCGGAACGTGTGATAGGTTTGGATCTTGTACAACGCGGTGATATTCTAAAAGTGGTCCAGGGCTCAAAAGTTCCAGTGGATGGTAGAGTTTTGTCGGGACAATCAGCCTGTGACGAGAGTCTTATAACTGGTGAAAGTATGCCAGTATCCAAAAAGCCGGGCTCTGTTGTTATTGGTGGCTCTATTAATCAAAATGGTCCACTTTTAATAACTGCCACACACACTGGAGAACATACAACATTAGCACAAATTGTTAGACTGGTCGAGGAGGCACAGACGAGCAAGGCACCAATTCAACAATTGGCGGACAGAGTTGCTGGTTATTTTATTCCACTCGTCATAGCTGTCTCTGCCTTGACATTATTAGTATGGACCATTGTCGGATACATTAATATTAAACATTTGCCAGGTGAAAAAGATGAGACTGGTAGAAACCGCGAAGAGATTATTTTCCAATATGCATTTAGATGTGCTCTCTCCGTACTTGCCATTGCCTGTCCATGCGCTCTTGGTTTAGCCACACCAACTGCGGTTATGGTCGGTACTGGCGTTGGTGCCCTCAATGGTATTTTAATCAAAGGTGCTGAATCACTTGAGAATGCGCACAAAGTTAAGTGTATTGTTTTTGACAAAACTGGAACCCTTACACATGGTACACCAGTTGTAACTAGAATTTGTATGTTTGTCAATGAGCATGTTTGTTCACTTGGAAAATTACTAGCCATTGTTGGCACCGCCGAAGTGAATAGTGAACATCCAATTGCCTCCGCAATTGTGAAATTTGTGAAAGAAACTATTGGCAGTGATGCAAGCGGACAGTGCAGTAATTTTCAAGCGGTCCCTGGATGCGGTCTCAAATGTCGTGTTACACATTTGGATTCTGTGCTAGCTCTTGTGAATAAATCTGATATGATATTGAACTATAGGAATCAAGCTGGTCATGCTACTGAATCAGGGGCATATATACTGAATAACGTGCCAATTGACGTTATTTTAATTGGTAATGAAGATTTTGACAAACAAAACTTACAGTACCAGCTGCTGTTGGATCCAGAAGCAGCAGGAGATCAATCTAATCAAGCTATTTACGATGTGTGCATAGGGAATCGTGAATGGATGACGAGAAATGCTGTTGATATACCTCGGCAGGTGGAGGCTAAAATGGTTGAACAAGAGGAGTTCGGATGTACAGCTATTCTTGTTGCAATTAATAGCGTTTTAATAGCAAATATCAATGTTGCTGATACTGTCAAATCTGAGGCACATCTGGCAGTATATACTTTAAAAAGAATGGGATTGGAGGTAGTGTTGTTAACTGGAGATAATAAGAAAACTGCATTTTGTGTTGCCAGACAAGTAGGCATTAACAAAGTTTTTGCTGAAGTTTTACCGTCCCATAAAGTTGCTAAAATTCGTCGACTCCAGGAGCAAGGTTTTCGGGTTGCAATGGTTGGCGATGGTGTCAATGACAGCCCAGCTTTAGCACAGGCAGACGTAGGAATTGCTATTGCCTCTGGAACTGATGTTGCTGTGGAAGCTGCTGATGTCGTTTTAATGAAAAATGATCTGTTGGATGTTGTGGGGTGCTTAGATCTATCAAGGAAGACTGTATTCAGAATACGACTCAATTTCTTATTTGCTAGTATTTACAATTTATTTGGCATTCCAATAGCAGCTGGACTTTTCAGTCCTTTTGGTTTCTACCTAGAGCCATGGATGTCTTCTGCTGCAATGGCGATGAGTTCCGTTTCTGTAGTTGCCAGTTCATTAATGCTTAAATTGTAAGGACATTTGAATTAATACAAGCAGATTGTCTTTTCTAGCTATTAAAATCCATTCTTGATGTTTATGCTTATTAAATTATTTCAGATATCGTAAGCCAACGAGGACATTTTTAGAAACATCGGAGTATCTCGAAAGTCTGAGAGCACATCATACGGTGATAAGTCCGCATGTAGATGCTGAAGAGTCGTCCATCCTACCGTTGCGCACCCCCTCAACGTTGTCCAGGTTTATTCAAATTTCCACTATTTCCTTTGATTAATTAGATGTAGGCGTTCACGAGTACATTGGGGTAGCTTATCACCCCACCGGATCTTCATTTGAATGTCATTCAGTAATTTTCTTCAGGGATTTTTGAGTTTTATTGGCCCAACAGAATCCTCAGTTCTGCGTTACGTGTAGATCTGCTGTTTTTTAACTCACGTTATTTCATGCTATTGAGAAATCAACAGCGTCATTTCCCTGGAGTGAAGTAAACTGAGAGAAAAAAAATGTTCTCAAACTAATTTTGTTTGAGCCAAAAAAAATTGCAAGTTGATAATTTCTAAGATAATCGGCTACGGTGGCCGAAATGGTTAAATCGTCCGGCCGGACGGCGGGATCCGTGAGGCGCGGGTTCCAGTCCGGGTTGGGGCAATTGGGATTTGTAATCTTTCGAAAACCGTCAAACGGAAGTCTAGACACCGAGAATCATCGGAGCAGTGTTAGGAAAACATTCGGAAAATGTTTTCCTAACACTTCTCCGATGATTCTCGGTCGGTGGTGTGACGTTACAGACGGAAGTCTGTCTCACGGGAAATTTTTTTTGAAAAATAAAAACGTCTACGACTTACTTCTTGCGTAGCGTTACCTTTCAAATTAAATTTTATGGATCCTAGCTTTTAAGATAAACATCTCCCATAATAGTCAAACGATGAAATGAATTTTTGAAATAATGGTAGGATCTCACCAATCAAACGATAACAGATTATTTCAACTAAAACTCATTAAAATTTATTCAATGATTATTCTGAAAATTAAGACAAAACGTTCATACACAAAATCAGCTGAACGTTCGAAAATTCTTGAGATTTTAAAATATTACGCTCTTATCAGGTAGAGAGAGGGAGATAACTGTGTGTCCTAATATTTTTACGGAAATTAGATGATTTCAACAAACAATTTTTAACGTTATAATAATTTCCCTTTTGGTACTTACCCTTACAATTTCCTCGCTATATTAGGGGTTTAATAACAGATGTAGTTCGAATTTTCTATTCGTAATCCAGATGGGGCAGTTCTTCCACTATATCCAATCGTTTACAAAACACAAATTTTAAGTCAATTTAATTCACCAAAATTCATTCCAAATTGTTTAGTTATTCATGTAAAATGTTAGTTATACAGGTAACTGAGTTCTGTCTCTCATTACATAAGTGAACCACGAGGATGTGCGTAATTGTTCACTTTACTACTGTATTGACCCTGATAGAGCCGCATCGGTTTAAAGCCTTCTTTTTGAATCGATAGATTTAGAAGGGATGGATTACGACGTTGGCTGATTTTATTGATCACTGTAGGGATAATTACAGGAGTCAAGCGGGGAAATATTCGCGATTGCTCCTCTAGCGTGACTCGTTTAAAATTTTACATTTTTAGTGGCGTTGGAGTGTCCAGAAAATACTAAGACAGTATCCTCTGAGCACACGTGCCTTTATGCGTGAGTTTAGAGCATGTGGGTTTACCGAGGAATTTGCAGGTTTGCAGGTGACGTCCGGTGAGCATGCGAATGAAATTTTTAAAATCAAATTTTATACGTAACAATGGACGCCTGTGTCGACCAAGGTTTTCCATGGTTTCCTTTTGTCACTAGGAGAGTCTGTACGTGGGGTACAGGTCCTGGGGTCCAATGCGACATGATTGGAGAGGAAGTTGGCTCATGAAACCGCAAAGATGTAAAATCTCGAATAGACTGTATATGGCAAGGAAAAAAACATCTAAGATGGAATTTGTTTCATTTGAACATACGAAAATTTCAAACATTTTTGGCCTCGGTCTGCAACTTTCATACGAGTCAGAAAAGTTTTTTCAGCCTGTGACGTTTTTGTTTTTGTTCAAACAAGACTTGTTTGAGAATGTTTTTTTTACCTTCCATTGTGGAATTAGGTAATGAGAAACACTCTTCGATTTTGAAAATGAATTCAGCAGAAAATAAACTGCAAACATCTTCTCGGAAAGATAATTTTTTCGGATTTTTTTTAGTTTCTCTAAGTGTTTGAATGAATTTTTCGTTGAATTGCATGGCACAAATTCCAATCCTTTAAATACAAATCTGTTCAGGAGAAGGTATAATGAGAGTGTATCACTTCGACATTACGTGGATTTAGCAATGAGGGCGGTGTGGGTACCCCAGTGTACCCGTAGAAAAAGCGCCCAGGTGTATTAGTAAAAGTTCACTAAGCTTATCTGATCAATTGTTGACTATACATTGGTTAATTCGGCTTACTTCACTAGATAACTACCGTTCAAACTTGTAATTATTATTCCACACAGGTCTCTTAATAGATCCCTCATTACTTAGCACTCTATCTACCCTTGAAATTCATGAATTATTTTTTCTATCTTCATAGCGGTGTTTGGAAGCGCCGATAATTTTCTCCTTTATTTGAGGCATGTGTATAATCGCTGTTTTATTTACATAATATTATCCAATAGGCGACTTAATGTAGAAGAACAGGGAAGTGAGCTAAGTCTGAATGCATGAATCGTAAGTTTTTTCCATGGTTAGTATAGTATGGTTAAGTTACCCATATTACTTAATTTCGCTGTGATTAACATGCTTATAACTGCTATATTTACGATTTTTTCTTTCTTCCGCATCAATTCTTTCAAAAGTTTCTTTTAATCATCACAAATATCAATAACCACGTTGAATTAGTCCAATTATTCTGATTTATGTGTTTATTCGTCTAAATATTATTTTTTCTGTATAGGCTATTTGGAAGGACAAAGGAAGAAGTTGAAGGACTCCTTCTCGGTGAAGATACAACTGGGTTTACTGTCGATTTTTCCAAGCATAAAGTTGAATCTACCAATGAAAATGTATCATAACGCACAAATATGATCACTCAAAATAATGAGGAACTTTGTTTCATTGTTTGCCAAATTTATGAATCTATACATTTTTGTTCGTACTTAATGCATTTTCCATTTAAATATATAAGAAATAATATTTATCTGATGTTGATTAATACTTCATGAAGAGTAAGGAAGATGAATTATTCTGTAAATTTTGTATTTAATCTAGGTCGATACAGATTTTGTATATTATAAAATTAATCGAAATAATTTCATATTCATGTATGTAAGTAATGTAGATAGGTAAAAGTCGAGAACATGAAATAATTTGATGACGTGGAAACGAATAAAGATTGTAAATGGATACTCTCTTCCTTCTATTAGGTGTATGTATGACTTAATTCTCGACGCCTAGACTAAGTTGATTAGAACACGTATTTGTATTAAAAAATTTTCCCGCAATAAAGGGCGTTTTGAAGCGCCATCTGTGAGCTATCAAACCACTATGAGCACAATTGGACTTGAGTAGTCCAATTGGCGATCGCAAAAGCGATTTCTCGCCGTCTGGTGGTGGTTTGTAGAATTACTATCTTGCGGAACCAATCTGATGGTAGTGCGCCAAGGCTCTGGAGTATGAAATAACAAATTATTCATTGATGTAGACACAAAAAATGTAGACCTAAAAAAGTTCATTACCAAAATTTTTTAACTTGCTTTCGGTTACGAGATATTCAACAAACAATGGACACAACCGACTCGGCTAATTTCATTATAGAATATTCATCTCTACATGAAATACGCCGCTTTATACAATTGTCAAGAGAGAAATGTTGACTGCAAACTTTCATGTTTTCATCGTAAATTCCTTTCAGTTTCAATGCTTCCATCCACTTGTTCCGTAAAATTAAATCGGATGGAAAACTATGGAAACTTAAATTCAGTTTATCCTTTACTTTGCACTGTGGAACACAGCATCCTCTTTTCGAATTCTTGAGATAATTGTTCTGTGCCATTTTCAGAAACAATCGGTAGGTTATAAGATCAAAATTTAATTCACGGCTTGTACTTGAAACAATTTGACATTTCAGCACTATTTGAGGTTAGGGTTCTGAGCAGCTCCGCAAGTTATAGTAGTTCTCGACGGTCCCCCATTTTTTGCCATAGCGCTGACGTACAACAACTGTCGAAATTAAGTTATAAGCTACAAGAACCTTGTTTATCATGGCGTCAGCTGATCATACATACACGAGGGAAACAGGAAAAATACAGGATACAATGTCCACTGAAGGAGAAAATAGTGTACAAAAGGATGGAATCTAAACTATAAAGAGGGGGATGAATTATTGATTGAGCTCGTTCGATCTTATCGTCATATAGGGGAAGGTGGGGTAAANGCGTCAGCTGATCATACATACACGAGGGAAACAGGAAAAATACAGGATACAATGTCCACTGAAGGAGAAAATAGTGTACAAAAGGATGGAATCTAAACTATAAAGAGGGGGATGAATTATTGATTGAGCTCGTTCGATCTTATCGTCATATAGGGGAAGGTGGGGTAAAATGGACACTGTAGACTTTTTTTTAATTGTTCATAATTCAGAAACAAATTTATCAATTGAGTTCAGGTTAGGCTCGTCACAAAGGGAAAGAATTGTTCTTTGTATTGAAAGGAAAATTATTAAATTTCATCACCATTTCAGCCCCTCATTAACATTTAAAAAAAAGTCAAGTGTCCATTTTACCCCAACCTCCCCTATGGATAAAAAACATCGTGACCACAAAGACACAGGCATGATAGAAAATTCGTTGTTCCGGCGACAGCGATCTTCTGCGACTAGTTTTCTTTAAAAGTGGTGAAACTTTCATTAGCAATTGTTCAAATCTGGTTACTGACATCCTCATGGATCGAAAAAATAACTCATCACTGCGCAATTCGAAAATAAACGATTCAAGGTCTCCAAATTGCATCACCATAATAATTGACAGGTCGCTTCCACCAACGTCGATACCTCCATCGTTTGTGCTTCTTCATTTTTTTAATGAACATGAATAGTCTCATCATTTGTAAACTCACAGTTGCCAAGAATAGCGCATCGGTACCAATCATGATTACAAAATAATTATTACCAGATAATTAAACGACTTTGACGTCTCAAATATTTCGTTGTGACGCAGGATATGCAGCTATTGCTTGTGCCTCATTGTGCGTTGAATTGTGGCTTATTTCATGTTGCTTATAGCCTGTAACCTATATTTGTTGCTTATCGCTTGTGCTTTTTTATTGTGCGGAGGCCTTCATATATGGGATAAGAAACATCGTGACCACAAAGACACAAACATGATAGAAAATTCATGGATAGAGATATCAAGAAGCATGATGTTATCTGGTAAATATTATTCCTTTTTTAGAAGAATTATTTCATGATTTCATGGAATACGAAATGGTACAATACGTAGCAATTCTCTGTAGAACTAAATGAAATTTTTTGAGGCTATAATCGTTGAACAAAATAATTTTCTAGTGTCTGAGTGCAAAACGCGATGGACGAGATTGAAACAATATTACTCGAGGGAGAGACAGAAGCAGGCTGAGGAAACCACCAGTGGCTCAGGACAAGTAAAACGAAGATTTGGGCATTATTCAAATGCATGACTTTCGTGGGTGAACACATACAAAAGAGAACGTATGATGTCCATGCACTAGTTCTAATTAAAATCAATAATACTAATGTCTAATTTTTCAGAACTTACTCAAATGTGAAGCTGAATCAGGTTAAAACTTATTCGGAAAATAAGGAAAATGAATTAGCTAAGCAACATGTGAGTCCAAAAAAATAATGATTTTGAAATTTTTAGGAGATGGGGAAGAGAAATCTCGTTTGGTTTGAAAAAAAAATTGAGGACTTTCAGTTTTTAGATATTCAATTGCCTACATAATTATATAGACCATGTTTATAATAAATTGAGAAACGGAGTAATGGATTGTTATAATGGAGGAATTCATTTTACAGATAGAATCTGGAATTATGGAAATACAGGATAGAATGCCATTCAGTGACCAAACGAACTGTCCTCAGGTATGTATCTGATCGAACGATAATGCGAGTGAATAATTCATTTTGAGTTGTTATTTTTGCACAGCAGTCTCCGTCAATGGTAGAGCTGAACGATTCCGACGAGTCATGTTCACCGTCACAGTTGAGGCCAACTTCTTCATCGTCGTCGAGACCAGCATCTGCTCCACCGCCAGTCATAACCCAGACCACATGCTCTTCACGAAAAAGACCTGCATCAACACCACTACCTCAAGTGTTGTCAGAACCCTCGAGGCCGTCTTTTTCAGGATCAACATCATCATTGGGGTCAATGTTCATGTCTGAAGATTCCTCGTCAGCTAAGTTTCCCCGTTCAAATCATTCAAAATCACGAGCTTGGAACTCCACAGATGTCCTCGAGGAGTCTTTCCGTCAGGCCAATGAGTCTTTTTCCGCTGTCACTAATAAATTCCTGCAATATAATCCAAGTGATCAGGATCAAGCCTTTGTAAACATGATCTTACCAGTACTGAAGAGCTGTGAGGGTTCAAGGAAAATGGAGCTCCGAGAAAAATTGCTGAATTTGGTGATGACGTACATGTTTCCTGCGGAATAACCTTGTGTGGGAATTCTTTGTGACTGAGGAGTTTTTGTCAGGAGTTTACGATTCAGCGCTATCCTCCCTGTGTCATGCGGGCCATGCATTATTTTTCTCTGTATCATGTATTTTTGATGGTTTAGGAGGTTAAAAAGTTATTATATTACCATGAACAAAGTGATGTCATAATATGATTGTATTTCTCTAATTGTTATTGTAGAAGAGGCCGATGCACAATGGGGTACTTATAGGAAGTCAAGATTTTCTTATTTTTTTGCTTTCTGTACAACTGGGAGTCTTCAAATCACTCAGGTGGAGGATGATGTACATGTCAAAAGGAATGGAGAAGGCTGTGTTAGGCTTGACTTTCAAAAGTTCAATATTACCACCTAATTTTATGATTCTTTTACACTGAGAGGAAATAACTCATTTGCGTTTAGTTCAATCAATTACTATGACGATACTTGATCCTTGATTGTGGTGTATTTGTCCGATTTTACCAAACTTGAAGGAATTCTTTTGCAAAACGCATTCTTGTCTGAGGAATTTTCTAATTTGCTCCATCCATCAAGACAAACTTTGTGGGAAGAATTTTTTCTTTCCCAGAAATCTTTCTTTTCTTTTCTCACTGTATAGGGGGAAAGTGTTGCAAAACGTGTCATTCTCACCCTGAGGTACCCTTTGCTGTGCCCCGGCCTCTCCTATTTCATCATAAAAATTATAAAAATACAAACTTGCAATTAATATGAATCATGATTGCTGTGAGTTGATGGTATTTTTTTTATTTACTCCCAAAAATGTACATATGTGAACGATCAGAAATAAATGGAATAAGGAATGAATATCTCTTTTTTATATATCAAGTCCACAAAGACATTTTGAGAAATAAAAATTATGAATCTTGAGGAAAAACTGTAATGAAAAATGTTTCATTGATTCTGCTGAAAAATAAAAATGAATAAAATCGAAGGCAACCAAAAGAAAAGATTGGAGAATGAATTTTCCAATGGGGGAAAATTCATTTCTCTCCCCCCCCCCCCAATTGAGATGAAGGCATGAAACCAACGCCTATCGATCGAGAATTATATTTTCAATAAATGACACCGATTTCATTCCTTAATCGCAATTAGGAGCGGAGGAATGAATTTTCAAAGGGCGGAGTAACCCCGAACGNCCCCCCCCCCTAATTGAGATGAAGGCATGAAACCAACGCCTATCGATCGAGAATTATATTTTCAATAAATGACACCGATTTCATTCCTTAATCGCAATTAGGAGCGGAGGAATGAATTTTCAAAGGGCGGAGTAACCCCGAACGGTTCTCCGGCGTCATTCAGATTGTTACGTAGGTAACTAGCGTTATTTAGAGTCCCTAGAATAGTCCCTAGAGTAGTCATTTTTACTAGATTAAGCGGATAATTTGAATCCAGAATAACTTCACGCAATCGATAAAACCCTAATAAACATGTAAAATAAGTTATTTTATTATTGATAAATATTGTAAATAATACTTTTAACTGATTAATTTTAGCTTGTAGAAAAACCGAAACATTTATGAGGCCTCTTAGTTCAATTGCCCTCAGCAGCTGCACCTCTCTGACGTCCGCGAAATTCCTCAAATAATTTATTACTATGGATATTTGAGTGAAATAATTAAACTCAATTTCCCTTCAAATTCTTAACATCATAATCTCTGGGCCCGTTCCCCAATTTTCATTCTTCTAGAATTGTTCTGTTATTCCCTGGCTATTTCTTGGGCTTGTTCCCCAATATTCATTCTTCTAAAATTGTTGTTATTCCCTGGTTATTTCTTGGGCCTGTTCCCCAGCATTTGTCAAGCATTCTCTTTTAATCTCCTTTACTCATATTTTTTTATCTCTAATCCTCGACCGTCATAAAACCCTTCATAAAACTCTCCAGACACATCTCTCTCTCTCTCTCTCTCTTCGAGTCGTTTCGCTTAATCCCTGAAAACAAAACCCCAAGACAATTACCTCTCCCATCCCTGCATACGTCAGAGACCCAGCCCAAAATCGAGTCATAGGTCAGGCCCAAAATCGAGAGTTGTGGGGGTGTAGGGTGGCCCATCGAACTGACCGAGGCCCTGATTGGCTCCCTACTCCTCTTTGGGAGTTGCAACTTAGACTTAAGTTTTAGTTTAGAGAATTGGCATCAGGAAAATTTGCGAGCGATACGATCACTTCGTTCCCAAGTTTGGAAGAGAAAACAACTATTCGAGAATAAGCCTAGTTTGGTAAAATCCAGAAGTATTCAATTGTCTAAAATCAAGATGTCGAGTTTGGACATCTGTGGAATAAGCCCGCAAAATTATTACATAAAAGTGTATTGACGCAACAAGATCGAGCCCCATTCACAACCTGTTGGCGAAGTCAGGTGAAATCTCACTCCACAACTGGCGAAAGGCCCTAATCCTGAAATACGCCAGTTCCATCTTATTCCGCTCCAACAATCCGTCAATCAAAAATATCAAACATAATTCCCGGAAGAACATTTTTGATTCCCACCGACACCTTTCCAAATCGTTAAGCGTCAGAATTGAAGAATTTTTGCAAGAACTCGACCTCTCTTTCCCTAACACAGAACTCAGAACCCTCTCATTCCTCCCTCCATGGAAATCCCTTGATATCAACAGCAACCTACAGTTAGCGGAACAAGAATGCCCTACCACATCACAGGAAAACTATAGGGCCCTTTTTCGAGAACTGAGGGAAGAGTTCCGAATACTAAGAATACTATACTGATGGATCCATAATGGAAGATTCAACTGCATGCACTATTACATCAGAAGAGGAAATTATATACTCAGCAAGACTACCAGAACAATTCTCAATATTTTCCTGTGAAGCTTTTGCAATTTACAAAACGATAGAAATCATAGAGAAAAGGCGTCAGAGTAAAAAACGCGTTATCTTTACAGACTCGAAATCCAATGTTCTGGCAATTAAAAATAAATTCAACAAAAACCCCCTAATAAACAAAATACAGAAAAAATTAGTAGACCTAGCCAACAACAAAATGACGATTGTCATCGTTCGGATACCGGCGTACCAAGGAATTAAAGGAAATGAAAAAGCAGACGTAGTCACCAAAGAAGCAACAAACAACCAGCAATAGAACCCACAGCTACATCGACGTTCCCAGAAATTAAAAAATTTCTCATGGACAAAGTTAAAGAGAAATGGGATAACCAATGGAAAGAAATAGTCTCTAAACTCCATAAAACCAGGGAAGACAATTAATAGTATATTTCGTCACTAGGCCGAAAGAAACTTTTCTGGCGAATATGAGTTTGTAGCCCGAGCCGAAGGCGAGGGCTGCAATCATATGAGCTAGAAAAGTTTTTTTTGGCCATATGACGAACAGTATTTTTTGTTATGACGGCCGTAAGCAGAGATTCACGGACGCGGAGCGGAGCGGAGCGTCCGTGAAGCGCTGCCTCACGGCCGGAATGACAAACACACCCTTTCTTTTCATTTCGTAATGGAAAGGACGAAATCATTACAGGCCGACTGAGAATCTGTCATTCCTACCTTAGCCATGGTTATCTCATGGCCAAAGAACCTCCGCCAAAGTGCCCGAAACATAATGACGATATATCCATCACTCACGTACTTCTCGAATGTCAACAATTCAATCCAAAAAGGAGAGCACTGTCACTACCACAAGAATTAGAGAAGATGCTGAACACTCAAGAAGGATATACAGTAGACTCCCGTTAACTGTCGATCGTCGGGACCAATATCGATAGCAGTTGCGCGAAAGCGACACTTAAAAACGGCTTCCACTCCGCGCACCGATTTCCCGAAATTTAAAGGGACTAGTGGTAATATGCATGTGGAGAGGGGATTTATTTTATTCGTGTTATTCTTGTTGAGTTTATGGAGATAGAAACAACTGAGCGCGTGAAAACTGCAAGGAATCGAGGCGTGCGAGTGGGGGATGTTTACGTTCCGCGAAAAACGCTCGAAACCGAGAAATGCCCGGAATAGCGACAGTTAACGTGAGGACGGTTATCGAGTCTACTATAACAGAATAATTAAATTCTTAAAAAAAATAAGATTGTACCGTGCCGTTTGAAAACATTACCTTTTAACATTATATATTTCTTTATAATTTTTTTACACTGATTTCAAATTTATATTAAATAACAAAAATCCTTTTTGTAATAATTTGTACATTTTCACCAAGTTGCTTAAGACCTAAATTGTTCTACAGCGATCTTCAATGAACGAATTAAAAACAAAAACAATGGAAGATGGTAATTATTAATCAGTAACAACAATGAATCCATGAAGAACGTATTCGTGTATAGAAAATTTATTGAATATGAAAATTATCTTAGTAGTAAAAGCATGCAAATACCAGCCTTCCAGGCATATAAAAATAATTTTTTTAATCATCATTTTTCATTCTCATTCGTACTAATTCAGTCAACTTATTCCTACCAACCATTCTGGGGATCAGGCGTGGAGACAAATTAACAATATCATGGCAAAATCCATTAATGATAGCAATTCAGACATTCAACGTGTTCATCGCCTTCATATCTATAACATACAGTGGAATAAAGAATATATTAGACACTTTCAGAAAATATCACAGGAATGGAGACTAAAAATCAACGTTATTAACTTACATGATGAAGCTGCATTTTGAGCAAAATTGTTCCGAACACTTTGTACATTCATTCAGGCAGTATGGGCAGTAGAATTCAATACAGTGAAAGCAGCGATTTAGTTCATAGACTTTCAACTCCCTGCAACTGCTGCATGTTTGTTGTGCTTGCGGCTAAAAGTGCAGGTGGAAATCAATTTTTTTGAAATGTTCGATGTAATCAACAACTAAAGTTCAGATGAATCGTTGAGCACCCTGATACATTTATCTATTCAGTTTATGTAATATGTCTGAATGCGACATTGCTGGTCAAAAATTGATGGAAGATGACACGAATTTAAAACAGGTCCGTCATATAATGTCGTAATTGGTTCGAAAGATCGGTCATAATTTGATGAATTTTCACTAAATTTGCAATAATTTGTCATAATATATTGACTGTTGTGGGAGTTCCCTCTCCCCATTTGATATCTAATAACATTATTTAGGATAATATGTCAAAATATTAGATTTTTGTACCGAATATCACAACAAATTTTGAGTATATTCGGAGCACGCATACTTGTCGGAAAATGTCATCATATGATACATTATGACGTTACAATTTTGACATATTATGACACTCTATCGACTTGCCATGACATTTTTTGTGGAGAAATTTTCTGAAAATTTCGCACAAAATTTTTCATATTAGGACAAATGCTGTCAATATATGTCAAAATTTGTAATATTTCTCATTTTTTGACATTATATATCATGGTTTGACTGAATCCACGACGGTATCAATATTTGATTATTTCGTGGATGAAGTCATGCATTCCAATATGGAAAGTATAATTTAACATTAACACTTCATTTTCTCGACCAACTAATCTATTGTATGCACAAGATTCCCTCCATTTTTTGACATATTTGATGTTTTCTACTCAGACCTTGTCAATAGAATTTGTAATCATTACATTCTAATTACACGATATGCATATTGAATTTTATCAAATTGAAATGTATCAACCCCATTATTCATTGTGTAATCTGAATCTCCCGATTGAACTATTTTGTACTTTTGCTGAATTGCACATACGTGAATTATACGTGTTAATTTATTGAGCCTAAACATTAAATATTTATGAGTTTCAAAACATTAAATGTGTTAAAAATGAATTGTGTGCAATAGATCTTTCAAGAAAAACCTATTCGGTCGTCAAAATATGCCTAAGAGGAAATGTAGACTGCACCAAGATAATCTTTTTGCTGTGTTCAAGCTCCAATTTATCATTCATAACCATCTGCTTCAAACGAGGAGGTTCGAAGTGATATCCAACGCCCTTAGTAGGATTCTGGGCATTGTCAGCTCTTTTTCCAATCAATTTTTGCGATCCATTCCTCAAAAGTCGCAAAGTACGCTCTGCAACAAATGACCATTTTCGTTCGTTTTCGCTCATTATATCAGAAAATAAACAATGTTATTTTGATGTACATAACCTTCTTACCATAGATCCTCTTCATTTCTTCATTCCTTTCCGCAATATCTGTTGCCTCTTTCAATCCAATGTGAACCTTCATCTGCGGGGTAAGATCTTCATCGAAGGGACAAATACGTTTCGAAGACATTTTACAATTCAAAAACTTTTTTTTGAAGATGCCAATTAACTTCGGACTGACGAGGCCGTTCCCAAAGAGGATAGACCTGCGGGCGCGTTTCGCAATCGACGTAGTAGCAGTAGCAGTACTGCAACCCTAATTTTGCTTTACTGCAGCTACGGTAGTTGATTCCGAAACGCACCATGAGTAGAGGCCCGGATCGGGGGGTTTGACGGACTCCAAAAATGTTAGTTGGTACCCTACGGGAAAGGCGGCGTCCCGGTCGAATTGTCGGTAAATGTGAGTCGGGTGCGTGAGTAACTCGGCAGTAGCAGTCACAGGGACAGGTTCGGAGGGGTATTTTTGTCATTCGGCCGTCATAACAAAATTAGTATATTTCGTCACTGGGCCGAAAAAAACTTTTCTGGCGAATATGAGTTTGCAGCCCGAGCCGAAGGCGAGCAATCATATGGGCTAGAAAATTTTTTTTTGGCCGGATGACGAACAGTATTTTTTGTTATGACGACCGTAGGCAGAGATTCACGGACGCGGAGCTTCAGGTGACTCAGAAACACCTGAAATGTGGAGATTTCATATCCTCTGGGAAAGTGTTTATACGACCTTTTGGCACAACTCACGTGAATTGTCCACTTTAGGGGATAATGAATCTGCACTTTTCAGATGATGCTGAATCGTCTGAGTCCAACCTTTTAGGACAATTTTTTTCCATTTTTTCAAAGGTTCAATTCAAAATTTTGAAAATGTTTTGAGGGGAACCTCTTTAGCACATTTCTATCGAATTAGGGGAACTTAATCCCCTAATTCGATAGATTCCAGAATATTTTTGCCTTGAAACCATCATTTTTTGGTTGATTAATTTCATTTATTTATTTTCTGAAATTATTTTTTTTTTTCTAAATTTTAGCCGGATGCAAATTCTAAACTGCAGATTCGAGAATGTAGAAAAAAAATCTTGAATTTACTTTTTTTTTCTGTGTCATTATTCCAATTCCAAATTACAGAAGGGAATTTGGAAATATTAAAGTAAATCATCCCGTCAATTAAGTAAATGGGAAATAACGAGTGAATTATCTAGCTAATCGGAAAATCGTCGAAGTCAGATTCGAAATTACCCATGTAATTTGGAGAACTACAATATGAATTTACTTGCCCATTCCAGTAATTCGGTATTGTGAATATTTATTATTCAATAATCTGTAATCTGAGAAATCAAATTCCCGATTAGTCAAGTATTCTCCAATGGCATTTTATTAGATTATTTCTATCGCCGATAGTTAGTAGAGGTCATTGAAAATTCCTTCGAATATTTTGGTAATTTGCGATTAGGGCTAATAAAAACTCATGTATTTCCCAATCGATTCAGAAGAGTAATGAATTTCAAAGGATTAATGGGTTACTGATATACAACTTGATATTTAATTGTAATCTCCAATTATTTTTATTAAATTACGAAAGAAAAATGTAATTTAATATTCAGGAATGCCAAATTCCCAATTTCCCCATCCCTGCTGTGAATTTATATAATTTTATCGAGGAGTAATTAATGGAATTTAAAAAANGGGTTACTGATATACAACTTGATATTTAATTGTAATCTCCAATTATTTTTATTAAATTACGAAAGAAAAATGTAATTTAATATTCAGGAATGCCAAATTCCCAATTTCCCCATCCCTGCTGTGAATTTATATAATTTTATCGAGGAGTAATTAATGGAATTTAAAAAAAGAGATTTCAATGTTTGATTTTGAGTCAACGGCTGAGCCTCACCCTGTTGGAAATTGCTGGCGATTTTTTTTACAACTAGGGGGCTAAAAAAACTATTAATTTTTTTCAGATTTTTTCGGCAGCTCGCTTCGGAGATATGATTTTTTCTTAGTTTTTTCATTTTTCTCCAATATCTCGGGTTCTATTTATCCGATTTTAATATTCCGTGCGTCAAAATTGTCAATTTTCTACCACCTATAGGAATATTATGGGTAAAGTTTTTTATCCAATCCGTAAGTGCTCATAATTACGAAATTTCCAAAGAAAAAGTTGAAAAACTCGAATTTTCAAAATTACGTCACGTTTGATTTTCCTCATGTCTTTTTCAATGATTCTTATAATCAAAACAAGTATTTTGAACCATCATACAAGTTGGGTTTCATCCTAGATATATTTTAATTATAAATTTTTTCTGTTCGCAATTCCGCAAATTTGGTCAAAACATCCCAAAACATCTGTGATTATAGATGGAAAAAATATGTGATATATAGGTATACATTAAAATTCACTTCATACCGTTTATAATCAAAGTCAATCAACTCCATTCTGGGATATTTTGACCAAATTCACAGAATTTCGAAGAGAAAAAATTGAAAATGAAATAAATCCAGGACCAAACCATTCAAAAATTAATTTCTCCCCTCCCCAATTGAGAAGAAGAAATGAAACCAAAGCCTACCGATAGAGAATGGTATTTTTAATAAATGACATCGATTTCACTTCTTAATCTCAATTAGGAGCGAAGGAATGAATTTTCAAAAGCGCAGACCCGAGTGGAAATTGCTTCAAGCCCACCTGAAGCACGATCAGAACTTGATCAGGTTTTTGTAAGGTTCGACTGATCGGGAGATTCCTGATAAGAACCTGACCAAGTTTTGATCCAGCAGATCGGATCCGAAAAACTACAGGCGGGTTCAGATCAAGTTCTGATCAGGTAGACATGATTAAATGATGCCTGATGAGAACCTGACAAAATTTTGATCCAGTAGATCGGATCCGAAAAACTGCAGGATGATTCAGATCAAGTTCTGATTAGGTAGGCACGATTTCACCTTGAGGTCGGCCCCAACCTTGGACCTTGAGGTTGCCTGACCCCAATTTGATCAAATTCGGATTTGATGTCTTTGATCGGCATTTGAACGGGGTCAATTGAAGAGAAAATTATCAGAGGGCCTATTCTCGAAATATTTCCGTGCGCGGAATCAACTCCGTTGACGGAACGCCTATATGATTCCTATACGCAATTCGTCTACGAAGCCACTTCCGTCCCTGGGATGCAAGCAGCCACTTAAGTTAGGTGGCTGTTAGGTGGCTACTTATTTAGGTGTAAAAAAGGGTATAGTGATACCTGAAACGATTATGGATGTAAATCTATGAATTATTAAGGAATTTTAGTNAAAAAGGGTAAGTGATACCTGAAACGATTATGGATGTAAATCTATGAATTATTAAGGAATTTTAGTAGCTTTAATGACATTAATCTCCATTAATTAAGGAAAATAACAGTTTGCGTATTGAAAGGGAAAATGAATCAGTAGGGGGAACGCCGCCGGATGGGGGCAGTGTCGACTTCTCGCCCAGGCCGATAAAGTCGGCAGCAGTGGCGGGAGAAAATTGATTATCCAATAGGTTCATATTGGCATTTTTTAAAATTAGTTTAATTCTGTACTGACCCAATTGCCCTACGTGACCAATGTTATCGCAAATAGATATGTAGGAGGAGAATGCTGCGAGTCAAATAGGGGCGAAGAGGGGCATCAAATAATTAGATAAATAAAATAATGGAATCTAAAAATTTTGAACTTTGTGAGAAGTGGGGG